ACACTATCATCTGGAAAGTAAGAGTACAAAAGATGGAATGTTCAGCCATATTTTCGTGTTTTTAACTCAGTAGTAGTGTGTTATCTCCTTTTTTTCTATCTCAAAATTGGGTTATTTATAAAAATTTACTTGAATTTTATTAAAAAAAAGCAACTAATTCAAATAAAAATAAATTCAAAAATTAATTTTTATTCTCTGCAGAAAGGAGAATTTTTAAGAGAAGATATAACCACATAATACTTGATTTAAAAAATAATTCCAATTCAAAAGATATTATTAATTTTAAATAAAATAAAATCAATTTGAAAATCAATTTTTATTCTCTACATAAAGAAGAATTTTTAGGAGAAGATATAGTCGAGAGAATACTTGATTTAAAAAATAGTTTCAATTCAAAAGATATTGTTAATTTTAAATAAAATCAAATAAATTCGAAAATTAATTTGTATTCTATGTATAAAGGATAATTTTTAGGAAAAGATATAGTCAGAGAATACTTGATTTAAAAAACAGTTTCAATTCAAAAGATATTGTTAATTTTAAATAAAATCAAATAAATTCGAAAATCAATTTTTATTCTCTACAAAAAGGAGAATTTTTAGGAGAAGATATAGTTAAAGAATACTTGATTTAAAAAATAGTTTCAATTCAAAAGATATTGTTAATTTTATAAAATTTGTAGTAACATAATTTAATTATGTTTTAACCTTAATTGATTATGTGTATAAAAAAATGATTTCACTTGTGAAGAGATATTATTTGGCTGATTATTCCTCAACTGATTATTAGTCTTCTGCTTCATCTTTATACAGAGAGACTTGACACCCTAGACACTATACCTTTATCTTGAGTTCTCTTAATCTTGTAGAAGTTTTGCTTGAGTATCCATCAAAATCTTTAGCTTCAAATGGGTAGTGGTGACATCTTTTTTGCTAATAGAGAGGAGGAAGGAGGAGTGTGGCACAACACGACCAAAATGAACCAAAAAGGATGAGAAGGAAAAAGTAAGGAGGAGCGCGAAAAAAATAAGGGAAGATGGCAAGCAGGAATAGGGTATAGAAGATATGACGATGGTTATTACTAATAACTATATATTGATGAGAATTTTTAGGGTTTTGTGTATGCGTATTTTTGATATATCATGTAGATATATTTTTTATTCATGTAATATATATATATATATATATATATATATATATATATATATATATATATATAGTAAAAACATTACAAAGTATCAAATATTAATAATATCTCAATCAAACTGTCTAAATCAAAATAATAATTTAATATCTTTTTATCTCCTCTCTTAAAAGATAATAAAATCTCTTAATACCTAATTTAAATAAAAATAATAAAGTAATATTTTCAACATTCCTCCTTACTTTAATATCTATTTATTTGAATTTGATATTCTTCCTTTGATTTTACTTAGAATTTTTCCTCCTTTTTTTGTTTATACTTCGGTCATCTTCTTTCTTGTATGAGATTACATCTTCATTCAACTTCACTTTTTTCATCAATGTATTTCTTCCTTTATCAACTTTATCTCCTTTGTTTCTTTCAAACTTCATGATAGTACCACTGACTCTTTGATGAAAGTTGGAAACAGTTTCTTCATTTACATCTTTATTTTCCTCCTTAACATCAAGTTCCTTCAAGAAATATTCTTCATGTTTTTTCTTTGACTTTCCTTTTATATCCTCTTTTGTAATCAACTCTTTTTTCATCAAATCTAAAGTAAAAAAATTTTTCTTTCATGTAAACTTTGAATATTTCTAAGCTATTTGTATCTTTAATCACATAAAGTTTGTGTTCAAAAAATACCTTATAATTTTTCTTCAATAATTGAGCAACACTTAACAAATTATAATTAATATCAGGAACATGTAAAACATCAAAAAATTAATTTGATACTCAAATGAATTTTAACTGCAATTGTTCTCATACCTTTCATATCCATTTGTTTTCCATTACCGATTCTCACTTTAGAAATATGTGATTCGGTGAGCTATTTAAATTTTTTTTTATCATGAGTCATGTGGTTTGTACAACCACTGTCTATAAGTTAACCTGTGGATTTATTGATTATATAACATGTTGATGCAAGGAGAAGTTTCCCTTCTACTCCATCCTTTATAACCTTGACGGTTTTTCTGGTTGTGACTTGCATATCTTTTTTATATGTCTCAATTGATCACATTTGTGACATTTCACATCAGGCCTCCACCAACACTTGTTGGATGTGTGCTTATTTTTCTTGCAATAAGGAAAAACAGAAAAGACTTGTGATTTGGTACCTTTGTTGTTCTTACCTTGGAGAAAACCTTCACCATGATATAGTAAATAACCTTCACTAGCAGCATGATCTCCTTTCATCAATTTTCGTTGCTCTTGCACTTGTAAAGCATGTAACACTTCTGCCAAAGTAATATTAGAAAAATCCGTTGTGTTTTCCAATGAAGTAATAGATGCATCATATCTCTCTGGCACAATTACCAAAATTTTCTCAACTATTCTGGAATCAGGAAATTTCTTGCCTAACAATTTTATTTTGTTAGCAATACTAGAATTACCCTATTCCAAACAATCAATTAATATATTAATCAAGTCATAACAATTACTTACTAGAAAGGAAATGAGCTCTCATAAGAGGGAAACAATGGACCACCACACACAGGTTGTTCACGGACCACCACTAACCACAAAACACACCACCACCACACACACTCCAACCATCACACACATCAACAATGCCACCATGAAGAAAGAGGCAGGGAGCAAGAGGAAGACCGCAAGAGAGAGATCGTGTGAGGGAGGAGTGTGGCATGACATGACCAAAATAAACCAGAAAGGATGAGAAGGAAAAAGTGAGGAGGAGCGCGACAAAAACAAGACAAGATGACCAGCAGGAATATGGTATAGAAAATACAACGATGATTATTACTAATAATTGTCATCGTATATAACATATAATGTTATTTATTAAACACTCATCATCGAATAATTATTGTGGCAAATATTCGACGATAGATATTTAACAATTGTCGTTGCATATTTTATATTAACCATCGTTTTATAATTGATAATATTTTCAAAAATATCATTGTGTCGCCTTTGACAACAGGTCCTAAAATGATTGTCGTCATTCTTTTTATTTTATATTAGTGTTAGTCTATAAACTTATGGGTCGATTTATTTTATAAAATAATAATAACTTTTTTAAATAAAAATAATAGTAATATTATTTTATTAAAAAATATATATGTATTATAAATTAACTTGATAAGGTTTACTCTAAAAATAAATATAAATAAATATAAGAAGATTTCTCTAATATCTACTTATTTCACAATTTAATAATTGATTATTTTAGATAAATAAATAAAATAATAATAATGATAACAAGGAGTAATTTGTTTTCTTATTTTAAAATTAAATTAACGTATTCTTTTATAATTTATCTATTAAATCATTATATTTAAAATAAAAATTACGTAATTTAAATTTTTAAAATATATTTTAAATTAATTAGTTTTATATAAATATGTTAATATCTTTTTTATTTCAGATTATATATAAAAATATTCATTTCAAAATATAAATCAAATTAGACTACCAAATATTTTACTTAATCCCTAAAAATATATCAAATTGGATCAAACTACCATTTTGATATCTCTTTTATATATATATATATATATATATATATATATATATATATATATATATATATTTATTTATTTATTTATATTTATTGCTTTTATAAAAACCTCAATTGATTAGAAATAACATACTTTAACTTAGTTCAAAGTTTATTTAGGTCTAAAATACAATTTTTTAAATAAATATAAATAGATTTTTGTTAGTATTATTAAATTAAATTTGTATATTAATGTTTAAGATTATATATTTATTTACTTTTTAATGTTAGATATAACCATTTTTTAATTAATAATTATTAATAATTATTAGCTTTACATACAATTTTAGGTGACGGATGTGAGTCTAAGTAACAATGTATACATACGTATGACAATTATACACATACGTAAGTTTTTCTTCTTCTTTTTTTAAGATATGAGTATGAAAAAGTTATTATATTTTATTTTTCACACACACATAAATTATGTTTGAATATTAAAGCTGCAATTTTTAAATTTAAGAATAAATTGATTTTTGTTTTTTTAACTTAATACTATAATATTGTATGAACATGAATAACGAGAAATGTTATTGTATTCAAGAATAGATACTAAGATATCAAAACCAGTTAATGATAAACATTTTTCCCCTTTTTCTTTCCCTTACAAAACACTTTAGTCAATGACCCTTTTATCTATGTTTTCCATTTGTTACATCTAAATTTCATAAATTAAAAAATATAATAAAATATAATTTTATAAACAACTTTATCTTTATCTAATAGTCAATTTTATAATAAAATATTTTGAAAATTATTAATAATTGGCACAGTTAATTAAAAGCGTGTCATAAGGATCTTATTTAATTAATTCAGTGTCATAAGAACTTTTTTTAATTAATTCATTCTATTATAAAACATGTTTAATATTTTCTTAAAAAGTATAAAATATATATTAATAGATTTAAACAATATTTAATATATACAAAGTATTTATAAATTTTCTTTGCAGGATGTTGAATTTTTTTAATTATGTTATTCCCACAAAACATCTACCAATTTCTGATATAAGATAAAAATAATTTTATAATAATCTTTAAAATATTTCTTTTAAGCTTTCTATAATCTATTCAAAATCTCAAATCAAAACAACTACTATTTATTGTTAATATACATCATAGTTATCTACACATCACCTCTCTCATAGAGAAAACTTGATCACACAGAAAAAGGAAGAAGAGATATCAATTCAAATAAACATGATGATGCATGATCCGCGATAAGACTGAAACTGGTAACTTTTTTTTAGCTTCTGTCTCTAAATATAAAACTACACACACCATTATTCTTTTATGCTTCATGCACTCAAGCACTCGACAAGCATGAAGAGTGAAGCCTCGGAATACATGAGCCTAGGCGTGTGAACTTGCACGTTTTGGCTAGCCACCACAGGTAACCCAGTTGAAGAACTCTTCTCCTTTTCATGAATTCCCTGGAAGCTAGGTTCACGGATAGATGGGTTCCATCCAGCACGAGATAAAATGGTATCACTCTTTTCCTTCAGCTTGGTCCACATGTCCCTTGGTTCAAACATGTTATCCTAAACCCTTAAACAGATGATTGTTTAAAGAGTGATAAGAAAAATATGACCAGTAAGGACACTTGGCTGAATATTTTGTAGGGGGTGTTTCAAACCTTGAAGTACAAATGGTGATGTAGGTGAGGTTTTATATATAGTGAGACGGTGAAACGATGAACAGATTTGGATAAGTGAATGGAAGTGGCTCCCACCTTTTCTATCTATCTGTGTGCTTTTGTTTGGAACAGGAGTCTAACTTTGGGATTTGAAGTTGATCTTATCTTAAACTCTTTAAAATATTAAGAGATATCAAAACGATGGATGCATAGACTCTGGAATTTTCTTCCTGTGTAACCCAATCACTACTCACCCTGCACTGTCAACGTACCTACCCTGGTGCATTATTGACGTACATACGCCAGCACACTTCCACATGATTATTTTAATCCATCAATTCGTCTTGACAGCAATGGTATTACAACTTTCATCTAATTATTATCACTTATGGTTTTGAGACATATTTGTTTAATGATTGTATATATATCAAAAGTCCAGGGAAGTCAATTTGTCTTTTTGGTATTAGATGTCGATGACATCTTGAAAGCCAGGAAAAATATAGGCTTGATCCATAATACTAAAATATTTCTCAGAAAAAGCTTCAAGATGAATGATGTCGTGGAAACCTTTTTCTTAGAAATCCAAATACTTAGAGATCATTCTGGAGGTATTTTTTGGGTTATCATAAAAGATATATCGGTATGTTTCTGAGAAAAATATAACATAAAGGTTATAAAGCAAGAGTGCATCCATTGGGAAGGGAGACAAACAATGCCCCGTTACTAATATTCAAAAGGTAGAGAGATGCACAAGATTCGGTATGATTATGTTATGGGGAGTGTTATGTATATTCAAGTTTGGATCTGTCCTAGCATACCATTTATAGTATAAGTCTTAAGGGGAGGGATACAAGTGATCCTGGTATGCAACACTAGAATGCATTATGTCTTACTGGAAGCATCTAGGACTGGAACTTTGTTTGGACTGAAGTTGAAAAAGCACTTGTACAAATTCTAATGTTTCAAATGAAGAAGAAAAAAATTGTTGTTTCTAGAGTAAAAGTACTGTTGGACTCCTCTAACTTTAATCCAAACATGCACTTAGAATTTAACTGCAGTTCTCATTCTTTCTATTTCAGCTCACTTTCAAGGATATTGGTTTGCATAGCATGGACTTTGCACCATGGAGTCTTGCGTAGTGAGTGATAATGACAAGACTGAGAAATCATAGTGGCTTTAATGAGGCTGATTTTCAGGCAAGGGAATTGGTCAGTTTACAATACAGTCAGATCTTTGCTGCAATTTAAAATTTGGAGCACTGTTTGGACTCGAAATCAGACAATTGTCTCATCACAAAAGGGTTGATTGAATGAGAGGGTTCACGAAGTGTTTCATTTCATACACTCAACCCATGATGGTTTCAAGGCGCCAATTCATAGTTACCAGAGTTAAAAAGGCAGGGTATGTCTGCATGTTTTTTAAGGCCTAATGGGTACAATACAAGAGACTTCAAATTGAGCAAGCAATAACCTAATGGCCAGAGTACTAAATACTAAACTGGGCTAGCAAAGTATCCAACTGTCAGTGGGATTTTGTAATCTTCAACACATCAGATATAAAATATGGCAGTTTCTTTCACGAAGCATGCGATGATGCAGGTTCCTTAAATTGATTTATTTCAATCCGAGAGGCCTACTGATCTCGAAATTTTTTTCAATCATAAGAAATGGAAATATATGCAACGTTTTCGCTCATGTGTAATCCATTAATAACAAAAACTTGAGGTCTATCACTTCTGATTTCTAGCAAACAAATTACTCTCCAGTTTTCATTATAGTAGCATAGATACAAAGAAAATTTTGCTGTTTAATAAAAATAACCAAGCCAAATGAAGTGGGTTTCTTATTTAGGCTACAAACTTTTACCAAATTCTCAAAAGCAAGATATATTTTCTTTTTCAGACCAGGTCCACATTGAAGCATAGATCCCAGCAAATTTTCATGTAACAAGCCAGATCACGTTGTGTACAATTCTTCTCTCCAAATAAAAATTGATATGGTGCTATTATGCCCAAAAATAATATAGTTCTACATCATATCAAGAATCAAAGAAAGATACAACTTTTTCCCATTTTTTGATTGGGATACACATATGAAAAGATTGATCAAAAGTTTATGAAATTCTCACTCAGCCTCTTCCACAGATGCTTCAATTCGAAGAAGGACAAATCCTACTGCAACCCCAACAAGAACAAGCCCACTCATGATGGCAGCAATTTGGAAAATCTCACCAGCAGCATTGCATGTTGAGGAGGCAGCACCTCCTCTTCTGCCATTAGATGGATATTTCAATGAGCTCACCACCTTTGCAAAGCACTGCTCAGTGCACACAGGGAGGCCTAATGATGTCACACTGTTCTGAGCCTTCAACCCCCCAAAAGAATTGATCCCTCCGATGAACTGCACAGTCCTCTCCCTTCTCCTTGTGCTGCCAACACTTGAGCTTCCCACAACAGTGATTGTGGCTGGAGTTGTTGCACTGGCCATGGCCATTCTCTTCTGACATGAGAAAACATTGTCAAAAATGAAGGATCAGTTAGTTCAGTTCGTTAGACACACTTGACTCTATTGAAGATTGCTTGAACAACATAAACAGGAAAAAGTGTGACAAGTGTGTAATAATGCTAGTGATATGAGTAAATTAACCTTTTGGTGATGAAGCTGGAATGGCTTTTCTATATCCTGTAGTGTGGTTCTTGAAGCAGAGTTTACAGTGGTGTGGAAGGGACTTTGTAATTGGATCCACAGGAACCAAAGGATAAGGTAGAAAGAGTGTGGTTGGTTGATAAGAAAATGTGATAGCTTAGTGATTTTGTGGCGTACAATTTTACTCAGATGCTGACCAACAAAACAATTGGAAACCCCATCATTTTGCTAGTCGATGAACTTTATTTCGCTAATTAAATCTTGTGCTTTGAGAGTTCCACATCGTCTGGATGAAATAATAGATTAATTCAACTGATTAGAGTTCAAGATTTGAAATTAGGTTTATCTTAATTTTTTAGAAACTACTAGTTTTTTAGGCCTTCCATAATGCACGTAATTTTAATCTCTATGTTTGACTTTTAAAAAATTAGATTCATAACTTCACTTAATTTATAAAATTACAAAATATTAACCTAAATATATCTTAATCCTAACCGAAACTCTTAAAATTGTCAATTCGATGGAAATGAAAATCCTCAACCGAAGAAACCAAACTATATTTTTTCATTTATTTATTTTTGTTTAGTTATTTTGATGAAATTTAAAAATAAATTTAAATATATTATTAAAGAAAATTGGTTAAAATTGTCATATTACGGTAACATCATTTTATTAAATATCTTATTTATAAATTTCATTAATATTTTGATTTCAATTTATATGAATATCGGGGACTTAGACAAAAAAACAAAAAGTGAAGTTCGTCAGCGCAATAAATTGAAAAGGAAAAATATTCTTACATTTTTATTTTTAAAACAACAATTTTATTATTTTCTGTAAAATCTTTAACTAGTATTGACTAAAAACGTAAACGTTCAATATTATATTTATCATAAAACTAAAAATAAATAAAACAACATTTTATTTTTACTTCATTTTTACTATTTAGTGGAATTATTAAATTATGCTTGTAAACTTAATTAAAAATCGTACAATCAAGTGTATTAGTTAAAATTTAAATCAATTTATATAACTTAAATTGAAACAAAATTATTTTTACTTCACCAAATTATAATTTTACAAGTATATTTATATTCATTTAGCTTGTATTAGAAATAAAATTCTATTTAATGATTTTCAATTATTTTTATTATAATTTTTTTAAAAATTATTACTGATGCGGAAATGAATTTTATGCCACAGAGAGCACTGATCCAGTATTGTATTACTAGCAACACCATCATTTAATTACAGGCGAAACTGTCTTTAAAAGTACATGTTAAATCATCTAATATAAGTGCATGGTTGGTGTTGATGAATGAAAGAAAAAAAAAACATGTTCCTTCAGTTTTTGGTTAGCAAATTACTGTATTATAGTAACCTAGTTTCAGATAGTATAATATTTTGTGTCGGAAGATGTGTAATAGAGTATGAAATTAAACAATCTGTCTAAAAATGTAATGTTACAGATGGAAAATATTAACATAGAATGAAGAAAAGAACCATACCAAAATCCTACCCGAACACAATGTCATAAAAGTACTTGAAAATCTTAATAGATTAAATGGCGAGGAAAATCAGACTTACTAATTTTCGGCGGTCAATAGAAACATCCAGTATAATTAAACCATTATACTCATGCAGGTGAAGTTCAAATAAATATAATTTCAGAATGAAAAACACAACAGCAAAAGCACAAGCATTTCAACTCAGTTTTTTATCAACTAGATTGAACAATCTATTTACAACCCAAGTCAAAACCAAATATATTTGTATCAAGACTACGATAACTAAGTTCAAATGTTTATGAACATGTAAAGCATCAAAGTTCCAAGTGAAGAAATTAGATGAACAACAGATCACTCAGAAGTCTAATTATCACAGATTGGCTATCAGGAATTAACTGTCCCTGCTAATTTCTAATCAATTTGGTTGTACTGAGACGATGCTGCAAATGAGGGTTTAAGAGTTTGGTGTGGCTCATATTTGGGCTGTGCTGCTGCACAGGAGGAGGAGAGTTCAACAACCCTGCATCCTCAGTTACACGAAACACAGCAACTTGCAGCACAACTTCCTTCGTTCTAAGGAGCTCAAACACACAGACATCACCTTCCCCCAAATTGTTCTCCACTGTGAATTCAAACCATCCTTGGCTTAACTTAGCTCGACCTCCCCTGTAAAGACAGCGAACGGACCACTGTCTGCCATTGGGGAGTTGAAGTTTAATGAATCCTGACACCCCATTCAGGTTCTTCTCTGCAAAGCACGAAGGCAAATACTGGAAAACAGCAAAAACAGGAATTGAGTATGCAAGATAACATCCTGAAGAAGAATGATAAATTTCAAAAATTGGAAAGCATTTCACCATTATGCATCCTCTATATAAATAGGAAGGTCGCAGGACGACTCGGCAGAAAGGATTAGTCGGTTCAAATGCTTTTGATGCATTAATCGCCCTTTCTCTTTCTTCTGCTGTCACTGTTCTTTTCCTTGCAGATGCACTTTCATAAAACCTATAGCGCATTTCTGCCTCTTCTTCATTTTCACCAGAGGGTTCCTCGCCCTCTATAGTTTCCACACACATTCCATTAGTAATAGAAAGCAAAGGTCATCTTTTAATTACTACACAAAGAAAACTGGGATAAAAACTTACGGAGATCTGATTTCCGCTTCTTTTTTGCAGTTTTATTAACTGCTTCCTCATTAGAATAACGCAATTTCAATTCTTCAGTGGACCTTTTAAACTCAACAGCGTTAAACTGAACACCTATGTCTCTGGTTGACTGACTGCCCTGTGAATTAGCACCTTTCGAAGAATAAGCACTCCCGCTGTCGCCCCAGTTTACCCGATTGAGTTTTGATCCACCATTGAACAAATTCTGCAAAGCTGGAGTATGACTCTTTCCTGATGCCAGTGGATCTAAAGATCCAGCAAAACCCTTGTTTTGCAAGGTACCGGATGTAAGGTAGGGAGATGACAAATCAAGGGAGTCTACATCTTCCATTTCATCAAAAATATGATGGTAATTTGCAAAGCAGGGCCCTTCATTATGGTTTCTCATTGCTGATTGATAATTTATCTCAGAGGTACTCAAATTAAAAATATGAACAATGAAGGACGAATTCCCTTCATACATGAACACCAAAAAGTATCCAACAGTAATGGAGTATCGTTGAATAAAATCTTGCCAACCATCAACAAACCAAATTCTGCTGTCCGCTTTCTTCAATCCTATACGCCAAACACTACCATCAGGAACAGTGAGGGTAGCAATTGTAGAAAGCTGGGTCCCATATTTCCTCAGGAAATTATCTGGAATCCTCTGAAATGCACAATACAGGTTAGGTTCCAAATATTAGTAAATACTCACAATACAATACTAAAGATGTTATGATAATACTAACTAAAGATTGGGAAATTCCATAACAATGGGATTAATGGGCAGATCACTCCCTTCCATCACCGCCTAAACAAGATCTCATCATTCCCACCCTCATGAACAGTGTGCCGGAAGGAATCTCCAATCCAGGGGAAATATTGTCTATTTAGCAGTAGTACTATTCCTGTACTTATTTGTATAGCATGTCCTATAGCTGTATTTGATCGTTTACTTAATTTCCTATTATTACTGATTATACATCTTGTTTACAAAAATAATTTATCTCTTGCAATTTAGCAAACCTTTGTCATACAACTAATTATATAAGCAAGCGTTTAAAGTGTATGGAATGTTTAATGGCAGCAAGCCCAAAATCCACTAAAAAATAATTAAAACGGATGGATTTGGGATTACTGTGCAGGCACAATAGGTATATACAAAATAAAAAATTATACTAAAAAGGCAAATATAACCAATGTAGAAAAACTGATAAATAGATGAACTAGAAACATATAAAACTCATCAAAAGTATCCCAATTTACAAATTAATGGTTAATTATCAGAAGTAGCATAGCATAAGTTCACTATAAAGAATAGAATTTATTTGTCTCGAAATTATTTGTAAATAAAAGACCAAACTTATGAAAACGAAAAGAGAGGAAGAAAGTCTGATTGGAAAATAAAAGAGAACACAAAACTAGAGAATTTGTTTAAAGTTTTTTGTTAAAATAACAGTAACTGAATTTATTTATTTAGTTTAAAAGATAGAGAGTACGATTAGAGAGACCAAAAAAGGATAGGAATAGGAAGAGAAAGAATAAGTGAGAAGAAGATGGATGGAAACAAAAATTAAAGCAACAACAAATGAGTGTGTGTTACTATGTAAGAGTCTGAGACTTCCTGGAGAGTTTCTAGAAATGTCTAGAAGATAGTTACCAATCGTAGATAGCATCGTGGAGCAGCCAGACCCAAAACTGCTATAGAAGGATATATGCTATTCAGACATTTTTTATTCCTATCATCATTTACTTTATTATACTGTATTACATGCAATGTTTTAAATCCCGGATAGCAATGAGTAGAAGCCAACTCCAAAACTACTGAGATTGCGTATAGCAGGATAACCACACTATTTTGAAATTTATTATAGTTATATAATGCATACTATATACATATGAATTTTCAAAAATGATAAAAATTACTCAAATTAATAACATTCACAATTAACAATAAAAATTCATAGGTGTCTTAAGCAAAATATTAAAAACAACAAAAATCAATTACAAGTTTCCTAGATTAGAGTTAGCAGTCATCACCTACTAAATCCAAGCCTTATTTGTCAGTTTCACTAGTATTACATCTATACATTTCAAATTTGAAAATTAAAATCCACAAAATAGCCCTCCAGACAAGCCCTTATATAGTGCCTGCTATATGATCTGCTAAAACCTCTACACTAAACTGTTCTGCTACAACAGCCCCTGTAATGGGCAAGGCCTTCACTAAACCGTTCCACTAAACAGTCCGTGTCATGGGAAGGTGCCACTCCGCACCACTGCAACGCTATAGCACAATAACACTGATTACATGCTATCATTTTAACTACTATATTATTTTTAGTTTATTATAGTATGTTATGTTTTAAATAAAAACAAAAAAATTGAGAAACTAAAATGGACCTAGATTGAGGCCCAACAATGCAAAAGAAAATAATAAGTTAAAAAAACAAAAACATTTGGACCACATGGTCTACTTCCCCTGAAAACCTAATTCCTTGAGACTGGACAGATACTAGATAAGAGTCCGACCCTGTGTTTATAAAACCCTAGCTCCCTATGGCAGAGATTTCAGATGGAAGTGTTGGTGGCAGTAAGTGCTCGGGGGTATAGTCTCCCAAATGATTGGTGGGGGTTATAAAACCTTTGCTCAAGCAGCCAAATCATCACATCCATCCTTCCTCCCCCATCATTATTGTCTGAAACCATCTGCACTGAAACACCTAGAGTGGCTGTTGTTTGTCATCATGAGAAGTGAGATTTGTGTTGCGATTTGGGCTCCAGCAACTGCAACAGCAAACCGCAAAATGATGACATTAGGAGAAGCAAGAGGTACATGCAACAGTACAATAGCGGCATGTTTGCACATGATTAACTACTATGGTCAAGAGGATAGTGTGACAGGAAAGGAAGAGGAGGCCCTTGATTTCCTCAGAATGGAACAACCTTGTTTCAATGAAAATGGAAGTGTATTTTCACTCTGGAATGGAAAGTAAGAGTCACATGAGAGAGGAGTTCAGTAAACAAAAGGTCACCTGAGGGCTAAGCTGTGATTTTGCAAGGCTTAAAAAATGAAATAAATAAATTGCAGTATGTAGCATCTTCGTCCTTTCAATATAGTTGGTTAAAGATGTGTTTCCACCATGACTATCAAGCCAATTGCAGCATCCATAAGCCACCCTACAGAATTCAACACACATGCCCCGCTAATGTCTCTTTACCAAGAATCCACAACACTATTCCACCATTGCCACCATTTGAAAACATTGAATGTATGAAAAGGCAGAATAAATATATGTCCATTTTGTCCTATAACAACATGTGATAAGAAGGGTTATCAACTTGCAAATTGAGGTTATCTCAGATCTCAACTTGCCGAGCATTTTTCTGTTACACGCAATGTATCAATATTCACAGACAATATCATTCCATTTGCTGTCAACCACACACTATTGAATTTCGGAGAGTAAAGCCCCAAGTTCTCTTCTAAATCCTAATTTTATTTAAATTTTCTTTTTCCCAACGTATTTGGGATCATTAAGTTGAACATCCTCCTTCACTCATGTCCAACTCTAACCCTTTGTTTTTTTTTTCCCATAGTTTTCCTCTATATATCTGTTCAAAACCTTCTCTATTCTCTTTCTCTGTGTTCTGAGGCTGCCTCTATTTATGCAAATAGAGTAACCCATCACCTCTGCCAAACTTTCCGAGACACCCAGCCTTTACTCTTCTCTGTTAAGCCTCTGGTAGGAATTTTATTAAATGTTTGATATTTTAAGAATTAAGATATATTATTTTCTTGAAATTTGTTGTTATTTACTTGTATGTTTTGCTTTAGAACTATGACTTTTAATTGTTAATCATGAATTTTGAGTTTTTATGTGCATATGGCATAAATATAAAGTATTAAATCAGTATTAAAAAAGTATCACAATAGCAAGCATCTGCGTCACTATAACATTTTTTGGGTCAACCACTGCGTGCCAAGATTGCTAACTATGCTAAACTTTCCCACTTTCAATTCGTGTTCAAACTAAGGCATCTAATGCATGGATGGTGTTAAGAAGTAAACTAATCCAAACCCACTTTCAATTCGTGGACCAACATTCAGTTCAACCCAGCACTTGAAAACATCATAAGACCTTAGAAAAAGGTACTTTCTGTAAACCACAAAACTTCTTGAAAGCACCATCCTTCCATCAGAATCTTAAGAGAAAATCTATGAACATTCCCATTCCGAAAAGGGTCAAAAATTCAATCTTTGGGGAAAAAAGAGTATCAGAAATCGTGGCAAAAGCCCAGAAGCTCTTTTTTTTTTGGCAACATTCACAAAAACCCCAAATCTAAAAATCAATAATATAGCATAACCATTTCCACAAACAAAAATAAAAATATATGAATGCAAGAAAAAAAAAAAAAAAGTACCAGTTGTCTGGACTGAAGAATGATGGGGAGAACCAGCTTGTGGAAACAAGGACGAACCATAGCGTGAGACTGATTAGGGTGACAGAAAAGAGGGAGAAGAAGAAGAAAGGTTCAGAGCATTCTTCAAGAACCTTTAATTGAGAGATGAAATCTTTTAGGAGGATTTTTGCTTCACACTCAGATCTACTCACTCTTCACCTTCTTCTCCACCCTTCCCTGCTTTTGAGTCAAACAAGAATTTTTAAACCTTAAAAAAACCCCAACCTTGTGACCTAATTAAAAGCAACTACTGCACCACTACTGCGACTCAACTCAGACCCTTTTATTAACATTTCTTATAATTATCAAATCACTACTAAAATGCATCACTTCCTTCTTTTTTATCATTTAATGTAAGTATATATATATATATATATATATATATATATATATATATATATATATATATATATAAATCATTATTATTATCATATTAATAATAATATTATTATTATTATGTTCAAAAAATCAATTACGCATCCAAATTGTCAACATTAAAAAAAAACATAAAATATAAAATATAAATGAAATTGAGTCTTAGAAAAAATAATAACATGGAAATTTAAAAAATATTCAATTATTTAAATAAATATAAGTTGAATAATGGTAAAGTACTAAACTCTTAAGAAATAACAAAATTGCAACACAGATTTTTTTTTTATAAGTTTAAAAATAAGTCCTCTAGGCAGAAAAAATATTACTATTTTTTAAACAAAAATAATCCTATTACAAATCATTACATTATAAATATATTTCATTTCAACATTGATAAAAATTATAAGTAGTATTAAAGGACTGATTCAAGATTTGTGGATGACTAATTGTAGCAGTAACTTATTTTATGCTAATAATAGTTATAATTATGTGTTGATGATTTGTAGTTATATTAAATAAAATTTTAAAATAATAAATAATGAAAAATTATTTGTATATATTTTTCAGTTTAAACATATGTATAGGTCCACTCAATTTTTACTTTTTTTTTTATTTTGGTATATTTGATATATTTTTAACATTTTCTTTCCGTTGTTAAAGAAGTTTAGTGTCAAAATTAAAAAACATTTTTAATAAAAATAAATAAAATATTTTCAATCAACGTAATTATTATATATTTAATATTTTATAAATAAGATAATAAATTATATATATATATATATATATATTATTTTTTTAATTTATTATCCATCATAGTTTTTATCGTTTTCAATATTCATTTTTTTCATTTAATATTTTATTTTAATATTACATTTTTTAAAACAAAAAATATTTTAATTTACATTATAATAAAAAGTTATTATAATATAATTTATATTTAATATATCAAAAAAATTCACTGTATCTCAACAAAACAAATATACTACCATCTGTGTCTTATATTTTAAAAGAATATTATCTGCTTATGTTTTAAATTTTTTTGATAATAATATAATAAAAATTATAAAATAATACTCATTTCTTGTTCTATTCTATTCAATTCAAAAATAGTTGTATTAATACTTACATAAAATATTTTTCTTATATATTAAATATATTTTTTATTAAATATTATATACATATAAAATATAATATTAATTACTTTTTAGAATAATATTTTTAAAAACAATTATATATATATATATATATATATATATATATATATTAGTCGTAAAATTAGTAAATACGATTATACATCTTATAATAATAAAATAATCTTGATTTATTTATTTATTCATTTCAATTATTGAAATTAATATTTTTCACTAATAAGAGTCAAATAACACTAACCTTTGTAAAGGATATAAGCGTAACAATTTTTTAACATGTATAAAAAAATAGAGTCTTTTTTCTTATAACTTTTAATATTAAATTCTATTTTATTAAAAAAAATTGTATGTTTTAATTACATAGGTTAATTATTTGTTGTTTTGGATTTCCTATTTGTATTATTTCTTATTAAATTTTTGTTGTTAATTTCATTAAAAAAAGTTAACAACATGAACCTAGTTTAAAAAATAATTGTAAGTTAAAGTTCTAATTTTTAAAAATATTCAGTAACCTAGTTAAAATTTTGATAAGTATTTAAATTATTGAAAAAAATTTATTTTTTTTAATATTTTAAATTAAGTTTTGATCGTTAACTTAATTAAAATAAATTAACAACATATACCTAATTATAAATAAAAAAATAAAATCTAGTTAAAAATAATCATAATTTCACATTATTTATTAGTTAAACATCACAAACAACACATTCAAAGTCACAGATGCAAACAAACACTCCAACAAGTTCTATATGTCAAAGAGTAAAGGAATATGAACATGTCATCTTTGTTATTTTATTATATTATTTTGAATTTGAAATATTTATTATATTTAATTATGTAGATTTTTCTCAATGTATCTACTATTTTTTTCATTCTTTTATCAAATTATTCAACATATCAAGTCTTCTAAAACAAGTAAAATTAAACATCAAAATGAAAAAAAATTAAATATAGGAACGTTGATACTTATTTTTTTTTATTAAGTAGGCAAATTAAGCAATTACAATAAGTGGCAGGAGGTGTAAAGAGCAAAAAAAAAAAAAAAGTGTAAACTGTACTCTTTCATTGAAAAAAGTTACTCAGTCCATCAATACAAGAGAAAGAATTTTTTTTATAGTCTTTTAAATACCAACAATATTAATAAAATTTTAAATAGTGTCAGTTGCAGTAAAGCCAACAGAATAAAAAGATCCAAAAGGGAAAAAACAAATCAAGAATATTAATCGGAAGGTGAATAAAGCAATGATGAACAGATAAAGAATTAATGAAAGCTTTGAAATAATGGTGGTCTTACTATATAACTATTCTGTATCTTTTTTCTCTTTATCACATAAATAAAGCAGCATGAAATGATCTGACTTTTACTAATCCGTGAGTCTGTCACATACAAAATCCCTGTGGAAGTTCAATGCACTGAGAAAGCATATTGAGTTTTCCACAAAAATGAATGCTTCTGTACACACTATGTTTACAAAACAATTCCCTAAGCTTATGAATTGACAACTAGCCAGCCTAACCATAACAAGCTCATGAACTGACCTTGAGCATAAGTTGGCCACTCCAGGTGGCTGTTAAGGAGCTTTATACAGGTTGATGTTCTCATGAATACTAACAACAACATTCCGCAACTCAGGGAAGATGGATATGAGTAGAAGTTCAAGTATTGCATAAGCAAGTTGCTTCACACATATAGAAGACTGCAATGAAATAGGATAAAACAATTGTTAGTTTTTAGAAGGAATGTAAATTGTTTGAGTACTTAAAAATAAGACCAACAGAAGAAAGAGTTAACAGTTGACGAGTCAATGCATCAATGGGAAAGAACTTTAACCTGAGTAAAGTAATATATATCACTGGCACAACGTCTGTACTGCTTCTGACCAATGAAGCCAACTAAAGCTGCCGGAGCTCCATCTGACCAAAATGGAGGCAAATTTATATGTCAAAGTCTAGGAGTGATGTTTGCTTCAAAGTTGACAAGGTTACAAAGACCTCACAAACAGCAAGAAAATACCATAGCATTCAGTCATGTTCATCAGCAACAAAGCCATTAAGTTCAAAGGAAAATCTCTTAGACTTTTGACTTGGAGCCTAACCTAATCTATGCATTACTAGCGTGTAAAGGAGGGCTAGGGTATCTTTCCAACGGATTTATAAAGTGTGTGTTAAGATTTCAACATAAAACCAATTGGCAATATATGAGATAGCCTAACATGTATTTAAATTATACCAAATGACATGAGACAGGCGATGTGGGACTTCCAGCACGCCCCCTCCAACAAAGTCTGCCGGACTAGGTAAATAGTACTGTTGACCCACAACGAAATGGCAACTTTTGGCCCAAGATAATAACCGGAAAGATGTTAGGCTTTGACTCTTATACCATGTTAAAGTTCCAACATAAAACCAATTGGTAATATATGAAGTAGCCTAACATGTATTTAAACCATACCAAATGACATGAAACAGGCGATGTGGGTCTTTCAATGGCGGTTGCGGTGACAACAGCGTGAACCAGTACACCAGGTAAATTCCTAGGACAGAAAGGTGCAGTGGTGGATCTTGACCATTGATCTTAGGAGGTCAAATAATATATTATTAATAAATAATAAATAAATATAAAAGGAAGAAAGAAGATGAAAGGATAAAATTGTAGATATATACTTAAATATATTAAATGATCATTAAGTTTGAGGGGGACAAAATTATAAATTAAATGAGAGTTACAAAACTGAGGAGGGATTGAGGATAAAATTGTAAATATACAAGTAAATATATTAAATGTTCATTAAGTTTGGGGAGGCCAAAATCATAAATTACATGGGGTTACAAAATTTTGGGAGGGTCATGACCCCCCTCAGCTCCCAAGAAAATCCGCCACTGGAGAGGTGGATCACTAATGGACACGCTTAAATACCAAGTCTTTCCTTGTCAGAACCTTCCTAGACATACACTTTCACACTACCAAATAATATCCAGTAACAAAGATAATTTTTTTCTAATGTGGAAGATCAGTTTAACCGGCAGTGGCGGCTCCAGCATTTTGAAAATTTTTCCCCTTTATCCACTACCACCACCGCTGCTGTCGGAGACTTCGTCGGAGTCGTCGCCGGAGTTTTATTTTTGACCGGTGACATACAGTTTTGCTCGTCTCGGTCAAGTAACCACCGTGTCGTTGAGATCACCACTATCGGAGTTGGTCGCCTGTTGTCTCTTGCGCCGTTTAGTCTCGACGAACTAGTTTTGGTCTTCTAGTTTTGGATCTGTGCTCTGTAGGTTGATTGGATTACTTTGGATTTTTTAGGGTTGTTCTCCAGCCCTTCATGACTTCTTTCACTCCTTCTACTACTTCCAATTCCGTTAATGATTCTTTTGCGTTGGCATCTCACCGTGATGACCAAACTCGTCCTCGCAAATAGGGAAAAGTGCATCCTAATTGTGAACATTGTAGCAAGCTAGGTCACAAGATTAACAAGTGTTATGCATTACATGGTCATCCTTCTCGATCTGCTGCAGTTGTTCAGACCGATCTTTCCCCGCCTTTGTTTGTTGGGGATCTTCCTTCTTCTGTTGCATCCAACACACCTGCTATGTTCAACAAATTTCTCAAATGGTATAAGGATCAACAGTCTTCTAGTTCCACTATGTCTGTTGCACACACAGGTACATATTTTACTGGCCTGACCCAATCCTCTTCTCCTAGTCCTTGGGTTTTTTATTCAGGAGTCACTGATCATATTACTGGTGATGTGAACATGACCTATGATAAGGGCTAGAGCAAGAGAAGCAAATGAAGCTCTTCAACAAGTATTATTGGTTGACCAAATTGTATTTTGGATTAATCAATTAATGGACTTTAGTTTAGTTTTATTGCAAGTTGTAATAAGGGCCCAATTGGAAATTTAGTTATTAGTCTTTGGGAGACCAAGAGGGTGCATAGCTTATTGACTTTTGTATGCCACAATTTCAGTTACAATCAATTATTAAGTAGTTTTCAATTCCTAGGTTAATAAATCATTATTAGCATTTATTTTTCTTTAATGAATATTTGTAACTCTAATGGCAAAACTTCTTTATAAGTTGAACCATTTTTATCAGAAATAACAAGTTGAGTTTATTTTTAGAAATATTAGAGTTTATCTCTTTTATCTTAGTGAGAGTGATTCTCCTAAGTTCTTGAGTGATTCTCCTAAGTTCTTGAGTGATTCAAGAACCCTTGGCTGTATCAAAGGACTTTTACATCCTTTGTGTGTTGCCTTCCTTGGGAAGAGTGATTCTTTCCTTCCACCTTCTTTCTAATTCCTAAATTTCTTACAAGGTTCTAACCCTAAAGATCCTAAATTACCCCTTGTGATTCATATCAGTTGGTATTCAGAGCCCCGGTTTAAAGGTTTGAACATCACATTGATGGCAGAGGAGGATAAAAAGAGAATGAGAGAAAATTTTCTTCAAGAAAAGAGAGAAAAAAAGAAGAAGAGTGAAACACTTGAAGTGAAACAGAGCTATTTAGCCATAAAAAGTAAGTATAATGTTAGTTCTACATTTAATTTATCAGACTTATCTCTTTTTTATGTAGATGACGAATCCGATTTGAGGACAAATCCTTTTCAAGAGGGAGAGAATGATGTGAACATGACCTATGATAAGGACTAGAGCAAGAGAAGCAAATGAAGTTCTTCAACAAGTATTATTGGTTGACCAAATTGTATTTTGGATTAATCAATTAATGGACTTTAGTTTAATTTTATTGCAAGTTGTAATAAGGGCCCAATTGAAAATTTAGTTATTAGTCTTTGGGAGACCAAGAGGGTGCATAGCTTATTGACTTTTGGATGCCACAATTTCAGTTACAATCAATTATTAAGTAGTTTTCAATTCTTAGGTTAATAAATCATTATTAGCATTTATTTTTCTTTAATGAATATTTGTAACTCTAATGGCAAAGCTTCTTTATAAGTTGAACCATTTTTATCAGAAATAACAAGTTGAGTTTATTTTTAGAAATATTAGAGTTTATCTCTTTTATCTTAGTGAGTGATTCTCCTAAGTTCTTGAGTGATTCAAGAATATTTGGCTGTATCAAAGGACTTTCACATCCTTTGTGTGTTGCTTCCCTTGGGAAGAGTGATTCTTTCCTTCCACCTTCTTTCTAATTCTCAAATTTCTTACAAGATTTTAACCCTAAAGATCCTAAATTACTCATTGTGATTCATATCAACTGGTAACAAATCTTTATGCTCCTCTTTATCCTCTCCTAATCCTTTACCTTCTATTACACTGGCTGATGGCGGCTCTAGAGTATCATCTCATGTTGTTGGAATTGTTAAACTTTTATCTTTTTTAACCATTGATATTATTTTTTATGTCTCTGAGTCTCCTTTTAACTTGTTCTCCATCAGTTGTCTAACTCGTTCTCTTGATTATGTTGTTTCTTTTACCAATAATTTTGTGTGTTTATAGAACCAGAGTTCGAAACAGGTGATTGGCACAGAATGTGAGTGTCATGGTCTTTATCATTTACATCCCTCTACACATGTTGGTGCAGTTTTGGAGTCTTCCTCTCTTTTTCATGCTCAGTTAGGTCATCCAAGTCTTGCCAAGTTACAGAAGTTTATCCTTGTCTTGTCCAACTTGTCTAGTTTGACGTGTGAGTAGTGTCAATCAAGCAAGTATAGTCGTACTTCCTTTCATCGTAGTGTCATACGTGGTGCTTCGTCCCCTTTTGCAGTGGTTCACTCTGACATTTGGGGACCTATCCGTGTTAAGTCTACTTTAGGTTTTCAATACTTGTTACTTTCGTTGATGATTATTCCAGATGCACTTGGTTATTTTTGATGAAAAATCGTTCTGAATTTTTCATATCTTTTAAACTTTTTTTAATGAAATTCAAACTCAGTTCAGTGTTTCTATTAGAGTTTTGAGCAGTGATAATAGTTATGAATATTTTTCTCATTCTTTTAAACAATTCATGGCTTCTCACGGTATTCTGCATCAAACTTCTTGTGCTTATACACGTCAACAAAATGGTGTAGCCGAACGTAAAAATAAACATCTTATTGAAACAACTCACACTCTTTTAATTCATGGAGAGGTTCCTCAACATTTTTTGGGTGATGCTCTTCTTACTGCATGTTATCTCGTTAATCGCATGCCTTCTTCGATTTTAGATAATAAAATACCTCATTCCATTTTATTCTCTCATGAACCTCTTCATCCCTTACCTCTAAGAGTTTTCAGATCTACATGTTTTGTTCATAATTTAAGTCCTGGTCTTGACAAACTTTCTCCTAGATCACATAAATGTGTTTTCTTAGGGTTTACAAGATCACAAAAATGATAGAAATGTTTTTCTGCTTCTCTTAACCATTAGTTTATATATGCAGATGTCACCTTTGATGAGTTCTCCTTTTATTTTAAAAGTCAATCTTCATCTTTGTCTCCATCCAATCCTGTCAACACTCCTAGTATATTTAATGTTTCTGTTGTTTGTGACCCTCTAACTGTGTCTTCTTCACCATTAGTTCCTGCTCCGCAATCAGCTTCTTCTCCACTGTCTCTTCAGGTTTATAGTCGCCGAAACCAATCACACCCACCACCACCATCATGTGACTCCACTCAAGTGTCAACTACTCTGTCTCATCTGGATCTGACACCTGAATCTGACCTTCTCATTGCCCTCCAAAAAGATATCCGTTCTACACGTAATCCCTTTACCTATTATATTGTTTTGAGTTATTATCGACTATCATTACCTTTTTATACATGTCTTTCCTCTATTTCTTCTGTGAAGATTCCAAAAACTGTCCCTGAAGCTTTAGCCTATCCTAGTTGGCGTCAGACCATGACAGATAAACTAAGTGCACTTCATAATAGTGGAACTTGGGAATTGGTCCCGTTACCGTCTGGGAAATCTGTTGTTAGTTGCAGGTGGGTGTTTGCTATCAATGTTGGACCTGATGGTACTATTGATCGCCTCAAAGCTCGTCTTGTGGCCAAATGTTATACTCAAATTTTTTGGTTGGATTATGGAGATACTTTTTCCCCCGTGGCAAAGATGGCTTCTGTTCGTTTATTTATCGTCATGGCTGCTCTTCAACAATGGTCTCTTTATCAATTGGATGTTAAAAATGTTTTCCTTAATGGTGATTTGCAAGAAGAAATTTATATGGAGCAACCTCCTGGGTTTGTTGCTCAAGGGAGTCTTCTGGGATGGTATGTCGTCTTCGCAAATCCCTATATGGTCTAAAACAGTCTCCTAGGGTCTGGTTTGGAAAGTTTAGCAAGGTTGTTCAACAATTTGGTATGACTCGGTGTGAAGCAGATCATTCTGTATTTTATCGACACTCGAGTGGTGGATGTGTTTATTTGATAGTATATGTTGATGACATCATTCTTACAGGTAGTGACAATCATGGCATCTCTCAATTGAAATAACATCTTTGTCACCATTTTCAGACCAAAGATCTTGACAAACTCAGATATTTCTTGGGTATTGAGGTGGCACAATCCAATGATGGTATTGTTATATCTCAAAGGAAATATGTTATGGATATTTTGGAAGAAACTGAATTGATGAGTTCAAAGTATGTTGATACACCCATGGATCCCAATACTAAACTTCTACCAAATAAGGGGGAGCCTATATCTGATCCTGAGCAGTATAGAAGATTGGTTGGGAAATTGAATTATCTTACAGTAACTCGTCCTGACATTTTCTTTGCAGTCAGTGTGATAAGTCAATTTCTTAATTCCCCATATGAAAATCATTGTAATGCAGTCATTCGTATCTTGAAGTATATTAAAGGATTTCCTGGAGAAGGATTGTTATATGATTCTAATAACCATACAAGAGTTGTTTGCTACTCAGATACTGATTGGGCAGAATCTCCTTCTAATAGAAGATCTACATCTGGATATTGTGTCTCCATTGGTGGTAACTTGATCTCGTGGAAAAGTAAGAAATAGAGTGTTGTGGCAAGATCCAGTGCAGAAGCAGAATATAGAGTTATGGCTTCAGCTGCCTGGGAACTTGTTTGGCTCAAGCAATTGCTTAGAAAATTACAATTTGGATGTCACTCAAATGACACTTGTGTATGACAATCAAGCTGCTCTTCATATTAACTTTAATCCTGTCTTTCATGAGAGGACCAAACACATTGAGATTGACTGTCATTTCATTTGAGAAAAGATTATGTCTGGAGACATCAAAACTGAGTTTGTTAACTCAAGTGATCAGTTAACAGATATTTTTACTAAGTCTTTACGAGGGCCTAGAATTGATTATATTTGTAACAAGCTTGTCACATACAATTGTATGCTCCAGCTTGAGGGGGAGTGTTAGATATTGTTTAGATATTATTTGATATTGTTAAGATATTATTTTATGTTTATTCTATTTACTTTCAGTTACTCCTTTAGTTGTACTTCTCTCTATTATAAATAGATTATCCTATGTGTGGTTTATACAAAAAGGAGATTAATTTCAAACCCTATTTCCTCTATGTTCAACAGTGTGAATACACAGAACTAGATCACAAAGTTTAACTAATTAGTAAAGCTCCACCAATACATTTTTCCTTTTACATATTTAATGGGTGGAGAAACAGTACTTGTAATTCATCAATTGTATTTCAGAAGGAAAAAAATCTATACTAGTAGCCCACATTCACTACATAAATAAAATGATATATCTTTAACTTCTTGAAATTCAAAATTTTCATTAATTAAATTGGAATCAAATATTTTGTTCATACCAAGAGGAACTAACAAACCATAGTTGAGAAAGAAAATGAAGAAACAAGTAAAAGATTAAAACATCACCAAAAAGTAGCAAATAAAAACTGAAAGAAGAGACATGAAAGAATATCTTGTTTGAAAAGAGTCCCTAGAATGTTAATAGAAGGCAAAATGTATAAACACATCTGTACTTCGACCAACTACCCATATCAGTTTGGAATCGTACATTCAGTGGTCAGGAAATTTTTGCTGAACCACACTGGAGGTGATTACAAGTAAACCATGATGGTATCTATGCAAATTGGTTAAATTTGAACAGGGTGTTTGTACTAGCCTAAGAAGGAAGATAAAGATATAAAAGGAAATTTAAATAAAGATTCAGAAAGAGCAGGAATCAATCCATTTCAATGTACCACCATCTTAGGACTCTACAGAAAATACAACTAACCAAAGAGAAGTTTCTTCACATCACTTGCTCTACGAGTAGCCTCAAGCTGTAGCTCGAAAGATCCTGACTGTGATTTGGACAACCTGCTTCCAACAGATTCAATTATGCTTGGTAAAGGCTTTTGATCACATGCACTGCCACCAATTAACACCTGAGGGGTCTGTACTCTCAGAAAAAATGTACCACCTGGCCAAAGGATCTGCAAACATTATGTAGACAACAATAAACATTAGCACAACCTATTGATTATTATTTATAATGTTTCCTTTCGGCTGGTGAAGAAAATAATGAGACCAGGATATTAAGCTAATAGGTTGGACAGATGCACAGAATTTTCCTTTTTATCCCCTTTTTTTTATTTTTAGTTTATATCAGAAATTATTGGAAGAAAACAATAAAAAGAGAATAAGATGACCTACACAGAAGTCAAAATTACAAGAGCATGAAACAAAAACTGCAGAAAACAAGGACAAGCAATGACATTAATCCAAAAAGCTCTCTTCTCCAATCTTGCATGTCTACTAGAAACCAAGTATATTCAAAGTAGGCATTTCAAATGTTTGATGAAAATTTGTCTTGCTCTTAACTTGAAGTAGTTTCAGTTTATTAGTTTTTGGAGCTTCGGTGAGAGTGAATAGAGTATAGCTAGCAGTACAAAGCTTATGCATTGCTCTGGTCAGAAATTCAGAATTATAAAGCCAACCTTTGTCCTTTCTCTTGTATGGCACAAGATTATTTCTATAGCTTCTCGGCTGAGTTTAAGACAAATTTTTCCTGTCAATGTATCTATTAACAAACAGCCACTAAAACAATCCAGTGCTCTAGATGAACACATAAAATTGAGGAATGCCATATTTGGGCGTGATCTAGTTAATTAGCGTAAAAATAATCTCTAGGTAAGCAAACAATGTCACAGTAAAATATGTTTAAGAATTTGGTTCAATCCTTACATCTTGGACCCACCGAATCCCTTGGGCAATGGTATCCTCTCTGCGGAGCCAGTGAATCTCACTTAGGATCCAATCATCAATAGCATCTTCCATCACCACCTGTAATATTTGTTTTGAAATCCAGAAGACCTGTCTTCTGTATCAACAGAAAGGGGAACTAGCATTAGTAACTTGACGGGAGTGTTGGAATATATGAAGATATACAAAATATCTTGGTCATATGTTAGACTTTTCTTTAGGATTAATTTCCTGTTTAGTTATGATCATGGTTAGTATAAATAGGGATTAGTTCTTGAGATTTTATGAATATATCATATGTAATACATTACAATAGAATATCATCAAGTCTCTATTCTCTCGCTTTATACTTAAACCTATGTATGTTCAACCCCTCTAAACATGCAAAGCTACATATCTTAAATAACTTGCATGGTAGAACAAACATATTCAATACAACACCAACAAAAGCTTCAATAAAATACACAATAACAGTCACCTTGGAAATATAGGAAGACCAGAAAGATTACTATACCTTAACCAGCCTCGTTTCTTAAGTTGAAATACGTTGTCAACCAAATTCAAAATAGGGACAGTCACATTAGGTGGGGTCCACTGCAAGAATAGTTAATATTATGAAGGTTAATAGTGTCTTCTAAGCCAAAAATAGAAAGGTTAAATTGATCAAGTCACTGTACTTTTTAAAAATGTCCAAATGGGTCCCATAAAGTGTGTAATTGGGTCATTATTCTTTCAAAATATTCTAATTCAGTCTTTATTGTCAGACAACCCTTTCAGTGTATTAATAAAGGGTGAATTCATGAACTCGAATTAAAAGTTTGAACTGATAGTAATCTAATTATTTTCATCTTTTAACCTTTAATGACTGTATCAAAAACTCTTTAAAATCCTTATAATTTAAAAAAGAAAAATGATCAAGTCCTTCAACTTGGCATATGAGTACCATAATAGTGCTCTAACCGTAGGGTCTTGATTGAAGAAATTTGATTTTGTAGAGATCAATTAAGCAATTTAAATTATGAGTCCTTCAACTTTCTTGATAACCTAATGGCCAAGTTGATCTACAAGGAAGTCAAAGGTGGAGATGCAACCAAGCATCATTCTTTTTGTTAGATATTGTTTAGATATTATTTGATATTGTTAAGATATTGTTAACCAAAATATCAAACAATATCTTCTGTTTATTCTGTTATTTTCAGTTACTCTTTTAGTTGTATCTCTCTACTATAAATAGACTACCCTATGTGTGATTTATACACAAGGGAGATTAATCTCAAACTCTATTTCTTCTATATTTAACATGGTATCTAGAGCTTAAGGTTATTTTGATATTTTTTTTCACCTTTGACCACTGTTGGAGCCGCCACCACCACCGCTATCGTTGTCGATTAAACTGATCTTCCACATCAGAAAAATGTTATTTTTGTTACTGGATATTATTTGGTAGTGTGAAAGTGCATGTCTAGGAAGGTTCTGACAAGGAAAGACTTGATATTTAAGCGTGTCCATTAGTGACCCACCTCTCTTTCCTGGGAACTTACCTGGTGTACTGGTTCACACCGCTGTCACTATTGCCTCCGCCGCCTCCACCCTTTATGACTTCTTCCGCTCCTTTTAGTACTTCCAATTCTATCAATACTGCATATGATCCTTCCATATACACTAACTATGTTAATGTGCACTTATCCATTGATAAGTTAACTGGCCCTAATTATACCACATGGTCATCAGACGTCAGATTACGGCTTAAGAGTCAGAAGTATCTTGATCATCTTGCCCCGAAAGCACCTACTCTCACTCCTAGTGAGGAAGACCGTTGGGACACCATTGATGCTCAATTATGTGTAGTTCTCAAGGGTATTCTTGATCCTTCGTTAAAACAAATTTTTCGTTCCTATGAAACATGTGCCAAAATCTAGGAACATGCCAAGTTATTATACACCAATGATTCTCAACGTCTCTATGATGTTTGTTCTAAATTTGTAGATGTTATTGCCTCTAAACATCAAGATTCTATGACTGATTATATAGGCAAAATTCATGCTCTTTTTCATGAGTTCAATGAGTTATTGCCTCCTTCCCCCGACCCTGCCACCGAGATAACACAACGATCAAAGTTCTTCATGCTAGGGGCATTACATGGACTTGTTGATCAATATTCACATATTCATGATCAGATTTTGGGTTCTCCGGTTGTCCCCACCTTGACATCGACCTGCTCCACTCTTTTGTGTATACCAACAAAACCCAACCCTGACACACCTGCTTCTGTTAATGATTCTTCTGCATTGGTATCTCGCCGTGATGACCAAACTCGCCCTCACAAACAGGGAAAATGGTGTCCTAAGTGTGAACATTGTGGCAAGCTAGGTCACAAGATTGACCAGTGTTATGCATTACATGAGTGTGAACATTGTGGCAAGCTAGGTCACAAGATTGACAAGTGTTATGCATTACATGGTCGTCCTACTCGATCTGCTGCAGTTGCTCAGACTGATCTTTCCCCACCTTTATCTGTTAAGGATCCTCCTTCTTCTATTTCATCAGCCACACCTACTATGTTCAACAAATTTCTCAAATGGTATAAGGATCAACAATCTTCTAGTTCCATTATGTCTGTCGCATACACAGGTACATCTTTTGCTGGTCTGACCCAATCTTCTTCTGGTCCTTGGGTTTTTGATTTAGGATCCACTGATCATATTACTGGTAACAAATCTTTGTTCACCTCTTTATCCTCTCCTGATCCTTTACCTTCTGTTACACTGGTTGATGGCTCTAGAGTATCATCTCATGGTGTTAGAACTGTTAAACTTTTCCATTCTTTAACCATTGATAATGTTCTTTATGTCCCTAGGTCTCCTTTTAATCTGTTATCCATCAGTCGTCTAACTAGTTATCTTGATTGTGTTGTTTCTTTTACCAACAATTCTGTGTGTTTACAGGACCGGAGTTCGAAACAGGTGATTGGCACAGGATGTGAGTCTCATGGTCTTTATCATCTTCGTCCCTTTACACATGTTGGTGCAGTTATAGAGTCTCTCTCTCTTCTCCATGCTCAGTTAGGTCATCCAAGTCTTGCCAAGTTACAACAACTTGTCCTTGTCTTATCTAAGTTGTCTAGTTTGGCTTGTGAGTCGTGTCAATTAGGCAAGCATAGTCGTACTTCCTTTCCTCGTAGTGTCACACGTGATGCTTCGTCTCCTTTTGTCGTGGTTCACTCTGACATTTAGGGACCTAGCCGCGTTAAGTCTACTTTAGGTTTTCAATACTTTGATACTTTCATTGATGATTATTCCAGATGCACTTGGTTATTTTTGATGAAAAATCGTTCTGAATTATTTGATATCTTTCAAACTTTTTTCAATGAAATTCAAACTCAGTTTGGTGTTTCTATTAGAGTTTTGCGCAGTGATAATGGTCGTGAATATCTTTCTCATTCTTTTAAACAATTCATGGCTTCTAATGGTATTTTGCATCAAACTTCTTATGCTTATACACCTCAGCAAAATGGTGTAGCTGAACGTAAAAATAAACATCTTATTGAAACAACTCGTACTCTTTTAATTCATGAAGAGGTTCCTCAGTATTTTTGAGGTGATGCTCTTCTTACTGCATGTTATCTTGTTAATAGCATGTCATCTTCAGTTTTAGATAATAAAATATCTCATTCCATTTTATTCCCTCATGAACCACTTCTTCATCCCTTACCTCTAAGAGTTTTCGGGTTTACATGTTTTGTTCATAATTTCAGTTCTGGTCTTGACAAGCTTTCTCCTAGATCACATAAATGTGTTTTCTTAGGGTTTACAATATCACAAAAAGGATACAAATGTTTTTCTCCTTCTCTTAACCGTTATTTTGTGTCTGCAGATGTCACCTTTGATGAGTTCTCTTTTTATTTTAAAAGTCAATCTTCACCTCTGTCTCCATCCAATCTTGTCAACACTCCTAGTACATTTAATGTTCTTGATGTTTGTGACCCTTAACTGTGTCTTCTTCACCATCAGTTTATGCTCTGCAGTCAGCTTCTTCACTGCCTCTTCAGGTTTATAGTTGCCGAAACCAATCAAAACCACCACCATGTGACTCTACTCAAATGCCAACTACTCTGTCTCCTCCGGATGTGACACCTGAGTCCGACCTTCCCATTGCCCTCCGAAAAGGTATCCGTTCTACACGTAATCCCTCTCCCCATTATATTGGTTTGAGTTATCATCGACTATTATTACCTTTTTATACATGTCTTTTCTCTCTTTCTTCTGTGACCATTCCAAAAACTGTCCGTGAAGCTTTAGCCCATCCTGGTTGGCGTCAGGCCATGTTAGATGACCTAAGTGTTCTTCATAATAGTGGAACTTGGGAATTGGTCTCGTTACCATCTGGGAAATTTGTTGTTGGTTGCAGGTGGGTGTTTGCTATCAAAGTTGGACCTGATGGTACTATTGATCGCCTCAAAACTCGTTTTGTGGCCAAAGGTTATACTCAAATTTTTGGGTTGGATTATGGAGATACCTTTTCCCCCGTGGCAAAGATGACTTCTGTTCGTTTATTTATCGCCATGGCCGCTCTTCAACAATGGCCTCTTTATTAACTAGATGTTAAAAATGCTTTCCTCAATGGTGATTTGCAAGAAGAAATCTATATGGAGCAACCTCCTGGGTTTGTTGCTCAGGGAGAGTCTTCTGGGATGGTATGTCGTCTTCACAAATCCCTATATGGCCTAAAACAGTCTCCTAGGGCCTGGTTTAGAAAGTTTAACAAGGTTGTTCAACAATTTGGTATGACTCAGTGTGAAGCAGATCACTCTGTCTTTTATCGACACTCAAGTGCTGGATGTGTTTACTTGATAGTATATGTTGATGACATCATTCTTACAGGTAATGACAACCATGACATCTCTCAATTGAAACAACATCTCTGTCACCATTTTTAGATCAAAGATCTTGGCAAACTTAGATATTTCTTGGGTATTGAGGTGGCACAGTCCAATGATGGTATTGTTATATCTCAGAGGAAGTATGCCATGGATATTTTGGAAGAAACTGGGTTGATGAATTCAAAGTTTGTTGATACACCCATGGATCCCAATACTAAACTTCTACCAAATCAGGGGGAGCTTATACCTGATCCTGAGCAGTATAGAAGATTGGTTGGAAAATTGAATTATCTTACAGTTACTCGTCCTGACATTTCCCTTGCAGTCAGTGTGGTAAGCCAATTTCTTAATTCCCCATGTGAAGATCATTGGAGTGCAGTCATTCGTATCTTAAAGTATATTAAAGGATCTCCTAGAAAATGATTGTTATATGATTTTAATAATTATACAAGATTTGTTTGCTACTCAGATGCTGATTGGGTAGGATCGGATAGAAGATCTACATCTGGATATTGTGTCTCCATTGGTAGTAACTTGGTCTCATGGAAAAGTAAGAAACAGAGTGTTGTGACAAGATCTAGTGCAGAAGCAGAATATAGAGTTATGGCCTCAGCTGCCTGTGAACTTGTTTGACTCAAGAAATTGTTTAGAGAGTTACAATTTGGAGATGTCACTCAAATGTCACTTGTGTGTGACAATCAGGCTGCTCTTCATATTAGTTCTAATCCTATTTTTCATGAGAGGACCAAACACATTGAGATTGACTATCATTTCATTCGAGAGGAGATTATGTCTGGAGACATCAAGACTGAGTTTGTTAACTCAAGTGATCAGTTAGCAGATATTTTTACTAAATCTTTACGGGGTCCTAGAATTGATTATATTTGTAACAAGTTTGACACATACGATTTGTATGCTTCAGCTTGAGGGGGAGTGTTAGATATTGTTTAGATATTATTTGATATTGTTAAGATATTGTTAGATATTGTTAACCACAATATCAAACAATATCTTTTGTTTATTTTGTTACTTTCAGTTACTCTTTTAGTTATATCTCTCTACTATAAATAGACTACCCTATGTGTGATTTATACACAAGGGAGATTAATCTCAAACTCTATTTCTTCTATATTCAATACTTTTCAAAATTAAAATTTCCCTAATATGAATTAGAAACTAATCTTGGACCCAAATTTGATCATGAAGGTGGTTAAACACCAATAGCATTAGAATCTTGGAATTTCAACTTGTTGGGTAAGCATTTAGCATTAAGATTTGATGAGTCTATGCATGATTGCTAAGCAAAGAAGCCAGAAGGAAGGTTCAAAAATAATCATGGTGATTCATGTTATACATAGTCCACTGCTGTCCCCACCATAACCCAAGCTATTGGACTTGAGTTTGCATGCAGTGGCTAGTGGGTTCCCATTACGATGGAAGGAAAGTATCACAATGCTTTCAAGAAGGCCAGATGAAGATCATGGTGATGAAGATGAACCATCGGATCAAGCTTCCACTATTCTAACCTTGAGGGGCATATTGATTTTAGGAGGGATGTATAGGGATGCATTGTTAGGATATAAGGAGAAGGAGAAATTAGTTAAGATAGTTAGAATATTCATGCATTATTAAGATAACTATAATATTAATGAATTAGTTAGTTAGTTAGAGAGGTAGTTGACATAAATAAGGAAAGAGGGATAAGGGAAATTCAGAGTTATTGTTTTTGTAAATTGAGCATTGAATCTTTGTGAAAGAAGAACTCTTTTATGAAAGGAAATCCTTGGAGAGAGTGTTGTCATATTTTTTGTTCTTTTCATCCTATTCAATTAAAAAGTTATTTTCTTTCTCGTTTCAATTTTTGGTTCCTAACAATTCCCCTTCTTTCCTTAGTTGTTGGATGTATGGTAATCACACAAACGATTAAAACAAGATTTAGCTAGCTAATGGAACAAACTTCAATAAAAAAAAAACACAACATTTCTTTTTTTTCTTCTTCCAATTTTATTGAAGCATGAGTAATTCTCTTTCTTTTTCCCTTAAAGGAATATCAGTACCAAGACTACTATAGTAATATTGTACAGTTTTCATCATGTATTATTAATCTAAAGGCTATCCTCAACTTCACCGAGTAGGCATGTTCGCAAAGAGAATAAGTAGCTAATGCGTAACTTAAGCACAAATCAACATGTAACAGCAAACTAAATATCTCAATCAACAAGTATGATGTGCAAACAAAAAGAAGAGTAATCCTAGTTGGCTACAGACCTCAGGTGGAACTCCAACTGGATCCTCCATATAATCAGGAACTAGATTGAAATTTGTAGCTGGAACATCCTTTCCAGCCTTAACTTCCATTGTTGCATCATGTTTTCTATCTGGATTCGAGTTAATAGACTCATTACCATGGTTCATTAGCAGTTGTAAATAATCCTTTGAGCTCAATTCATTGTCAGAATTCCACTCATTATCTTCTGCTTCTTTATCAATATTCTCATCACCAAAATTAACTTCCTTTTCGCCTTCCTCATTATCAGAGCTTAACACACACTCTGTGGTAGGCCTTGAAACTCTTTTTTCCATTTCATCAATGTTCCAACACGTGTTCCGACTAGTTGATGTAGAAGAACCCTCAATAGTAGGGGATGATGAACCAACAACTTTTCGAATTAAACCATCTGAAACACCTTTAAATTGTCTCACAATATCGTCCACAGCATCATCTACATTGACTGCCAATATAAAAAAATTGAGCATTATGGTAGGATCTCATTTAATGATAACAGATAAAAGAATGGTGTATAGCTCGTAACAATAGGTAAAATCCTCTTTTTAAATAAAATTGAAAACAAAGATAGAAACACCCAAATATTTATGAGTCAGACAACCTCCATTCCCAAAGGATTTAAACCCTTGTGACAATTTCTTGCCTAGTTCCTACTCCCTGTTCTTCACATTTATCTCACTGCCCAACCAAACTTCTCTCCTCTCTCCTCATTTGTCATTGTAACATAGGCATTCACTTATTCCGTATTTGATATTTTCTATTTTGTTCTCTTATGTCCTTACCCACGTTTTGATTCTCAATTTCTCATCTTCTACCTAGTATAAATAATAGGGGCTATATATCACTTTATATTTTGAATTATTAATACACAAGAAAAAACACAGAAAAGAGAAGAAAAAAATTTACAGAGAAAAACCCTTAACAAATAACAGTTAAGTTCATTAACTAATGCTATGCTTCAATGTTGGAAATAAAGAAAGGACTGATGCAAAAACAATTAAGTGGCATATTAAATTGCAATACAATCTTCTCATATGTAGCTTTAAAAAAATCTAATAAAACTTTTCTAAAATACTTTGTTGCTGATAGAGAAGTATTTCAAGCAGACCTTTAGTTAAGATATTAGCATACTGGGCAAAAACAAGCGCATGAAATAATATACCTCACACTTAAACAAGTATGACAAATCCTCAATGTTTTAACCATATATACCTGCTAGGGTCCTCATCATTGAAGAAGATTTTCCAAAAGAGTAGTTCTTCAAGTGAAAAAAGGAAAGAAAAAGGTGCTTAGATTGTCATTTTTCCCATCTTCATGTACTAAAGAAAATGGTACAATGTCACTTATCTAATGTTACAATAAGAAATACCAAGCATATACAAACCTTTGAGGAAACACTCAAAAAGTCCCACACTTCATGTTGTTCAGCAATATTAGCTATTGATAGGAGATCCTAAAGCAAGCCATCACATTTGATTTAAAGATGTTAAAAACACACATCAGAAAATATTGACAATTGTAGAATATGACTGAAAATACCTGGAGATATTTATCAAACTGAATGCAACGCTGATAAACAAAGGCATCCTCTGTGCTTGAGGAAAATATCCTTTTGGGAGGCAAATGTAACATGTAATTGGGTATATCTTTTAGATGTCGATGCAATCGCTCAAAATTCCTGTATCTGAAAGTCACCTAAAAATGTTTAGTGATGCTAAAGCACAAATATAAACAAAGAATAAAATAATTTTGAAACTCCATAATATGTATTTCCTAATATTACGAATTAGTTTAAACTACAAAATGGGGAAAAATGATGGTTAAAAGAAAAAATTGATTGCTCCTATCATTTTACTATATGGTTAAAACTTAAAACCCAAACATTACAATTCATAATCAATATAAATCCAAGTAAACCTATTCGAAATTATCCAAATTCAAACAAACATAACTTGGCATTTCCACTATAGCAATGAATGAAGGTAAACCCTCTACCTTCTTCTAACAAACCAAGTTTTCTCTAGACCATCAGTCACTGCAATTGAATAGACAGCAAAAGAAGTGGATCCTAGTTTCTCAAAATATGCTCCCATCACCTGTAGTGTGCAAGTAGACAACAAACAACAAACTAACAATTAAATTGAATAAAAGAAACCACAGCAAAATATCTCATCTATCATAGCTTGAATCCATTCAAATTTGTATGAGTTAATATTATATAGGTTTCAAATTGACTTACATTTTATAATAGTATAAATCAAAAGTTGCAATAATATCATACAAAAGGGCATACCCGACACCGAAGCTTTGGAACAAAATGTCCCTCTCTTCTAAAAACCATGTCAGAACCAACCTTTCCCCGAAATCCTTCATTGTTTTTCTCAAATTCTGGGTTGTTGAGATCTGACCTTGGGGACCCCTTTGGGGACCCTACCTTAAGATGAGTTTGGTTAACTAACAGAGAAGCACTGTTGGATCTCTTTAGATCTTTATATTTGTTACAAGTGAACTCCTTGATTTCCTTCACTTCATCACCGTGAGGGTCTGCTTCAAAAGATAATTCCTTGTCAGGATCAGGTAAAGACTCTGACTTGTTTGTGCCTACAACATCTAGGAGTGGATCTGAACCCACACAATGCATAACACCCTTTACTTCTGGAATTGCATCAGCAGCAGAACATTTCATAGAAGAGTCCTGTAAGCCAGTTTTTGAATTTTTATGTTCTTTCCGTCTATAATTCCTTCCTTTTGCCCACATGTTCTCCAGATTCTCAGGCGTAAGAACTTCAGTTCTTCTCTGAGTTGCAGCCTCCAACATTTGTGCCCAATCAGCAGAGGCAGTATGATTATCATGTCCACCCCCAGCACCAGAATGACCATGATTATGAGTTGTATTGGTTGAATGTTCAGTGGCCCCCATCCAATTTACACCATCATCATTAAGGACAAGTAGAAGAGATTCAATCAGCTCATTGATATACCTAATCATGAATAGAAATATATTTTATGAATTGAAATTAGAATAAAGTTACATGCCTACTAAAATTCAATTTTATATAACCAATGTAACACCGCAATAGGTTAATCAAGATGAAGATCCAGTTGCTACAAAACTTGTGCCATCAAATGTTTTCAACTGATTAGATAACACGCTAAGCTTTTTTTCTTAGATTAATAGAAAAGATATTTTAGGTTTGTAATCAGATATTATATATTAAACTAGCCAACTTGAGCATTTAACATATGTAACATGTACTTCTTTTTTTACTTTTTTTTTAAGGGGGGGAGGAGGGGGAATATCATCACTATCTTGTTAGTCATCCCAACTAAGTTAGCGCCACAAACAAACAACACCAATCATATGCAGCACCTCAAAATATCATATAAAAAAGAGGGAATATAAAATCAAGTGGGGGGACCACACCAAACCCACAATTAAACCCTAATCCTATAGAAAGGTAAACCAAATCTATCCCTGAAAAACTCTGGGCAAATAAAACTGGAACATTATCCCACCATTTATAACCCTGTGTCAAAGTCAGCAAGTTTATCAGCTCATTGATTACCCTCCCTAAAAATTTCAGAAAAATGAATACATATACTACTACTAGTTACAAAACAGTTGAGTCATCTAGTACAAAGCACCCAAGGTTTTCGTAAACGTACAATTTTGCCATACATATGAAATCTTCAAACAAGTTTTAACTATGCTATTGGATACTTGATGTGCTGGTCACTTGTCGAGTTATTTACATGTAAACCTTTTTGTCAAATTATCTACACTTGTTAAGTTATTCACGTTAGTTTAGATATTGCTCTTTGATAGAACAACCGTGTGTGTCAGATAACTGACAGGACACACCCAAATCTTTTATTTCAAAAAGGACTAACAATTAGTAGATGGGATCATGGGCAAAGAACATTGTATTCTTCTTATGCATGCTTAAGGAACCATTTCTCAACCTGACTCTTAATGCCCTAAAGCCCATAATATTTCCTCTTGGCCTTAGATGTTCAAATTTATTGACTAGCTACTGCCAGGATGTACTAGTAACACATACTTCTATCCACTCTTTCCTATCTCAACCTTGAAACTTATCAACCAACAGCCAGAACAAAACCATGGTAAGAACTAGTAAGGTTTTTATGCCCCATATACACCAAGTCTGATCAGAAACCTCTCCCCCTAAAAAAACAGACAAACTTTGAAACTTTCAGATTTCTATCTAAAAATAGAAAACCCTTCAACAGGTTACGAATTGTTATGGCCCACCTCCCTATCAAGAAAGGCTTAAAGGAAGTGAAATTTAAGACAAAGAGTTTAACTTACGCAGGGCTTGCCAAATTCATGACAGGTTGCAATATCAAACAAGTTAAAAGTTCCTGAGCTATACATCGAATGACAGGACATTGAGCTTCTCGTTTTCTCAATACTGTAGTTAATAATCCACTCATTAGCCTCTGGAGAACCTAAAGAAAGAGAAATCTCATCAGATGATACATGACATATATTTTGCCAAAGTAAAATATAGACAACATCTAGACACTCCACTCACACCTTGTACTCACTCTCTGGAGATATTAGTGCTGGATGAAGCTCCTTAGAATTCAAAAGATGGTACTTCAATCTTTCATCCCTCTCCTCAGAAGATAAGGTTAACATGACATCAACACCTATAGCAGCTTGATTTCTTCTGAAAAGGTCTATATGATCCCCTATTAAATCAACTATGTCCCTACAATTATAAATGATACATAACACAACCAGTGATTTTGTTTATTTCAAGAACTCGCCAAATTCCTTTCTTCAGGGAACAAATAATAAAAGAGGCAGAAATCATGTACCTTGTGAGCAAGTCAACAAGGTTTATCTCTTTAACCCTCACTGACACTTCAGCAATAGCATCCATGATTAAGTCTCGTATCAGCTCAGGAAACTCCATATCTGGAGTAATGTCTGAATACCACATATTTATCACGAAATCCTTCAATATCAGATCAATGAAATCATTCAAGGCTGCCTCTACAACAGGAGAATCGATCTTCTTCTTCCATTTGGGAGGGGGAGGTGAAGAAGAGAGTCGTTCATCATTCAGAGACAACTGATTTTTCTCCAAATGAGATAGGTAAGTCTGTAATCTGTGTGGCTGAACCTTCCAACGGAATTCCACCTTATTCAAAAGAATGCGCAGAGCAGCAACAAACAGAATGGACATGGGAAGATTCATCCACATAGATTTACTTGTATCTGGTGAACAACAACGAACAACAATAGCAATAAATTAAAACTGGCAGTCTTAAGAACATAACCCCGATACTGAAATAACTAACTTGAATATCAAACTATGCAGCCTTAAAACAAAACCGAGTCCCAGATACGAAAATGACATGTATCAATCAAAGACTCTAAATTCCCAGTCGTAAGGGAAAACCTCACTGGAAAAAAGGACAAAACTTAGATACAATTTCTTAAGTACTTTTAGTGTTGTTCTCTTATCAAAATAGAAGTTTTGCTTAAACAATCTGCGCAATAAAAATGTTGCATTGAAGATCAGCATAACTTAGCAAGTTGAAACTCAAATTCTGATTGAACTATACTACCAAAAACACTTAAGGGCATGCATGCATCTAAGTTTTGTCCCTAGACAAATGACAAGTCTGAATCCATTTGCAAATCTAAAAGCAAAACCCAGATGGGAAAACGGCAAGTTTCAACCAAAGACTCAAAATTTGGAGTCTTGAAGCAAAACCCAGATAGAAAAACATCACAAGTAACAACAGGGAATCATTGTTAATATAAGAAAAAAAAAAAACATAATGAAAGTAGGAATAACTTACGAGTGAAGAAATAGGAAATGGCGAATATACAAAGAGCCCACCAGAGAAGACGGAGCTTGGCCTCTTCAATGAGATCATAGATGATGTCCATGGTGGGTGTGGGCGTTAGAGGACCCATCTTGTTCCCTCTGTAACTAAAAGCGACCACCTTGCCACTTTCAAATATGGCATGACAATGTCACAGCGACAACCTCGCTATCTTTGTTCGGTTTCAGTTCGTTTCCTATTTCTATATCATCTTTAATTAATAAGCTTGCTCTAAGAAATTGAGGTTTTTTTTTATTATTTTTTAATTTCAATTAAAATTTTAGAATTTAAGTAGAGTTTAATGAAACCCAATGGGTTACGCATTGTTGTTTTCTACTTTCTATGAAAATCTATCATCACTCCTTTTCATTTCGAGAGTAGTATGAGACGTAAGAAATTTCCTTTACCAAAAAAATAAGGTGATCATAACTTTGGTTTGAGTGCAGGAATATGTTAGAGTATATGTATATTAGAAGAAAAATAAAAAACAATAATTAGCACGTATGAAAAGGTTGTTTATATTTAGAATCAATGTTTTCAAATAATAAATTTATATATATATATATATATATATATATATATATATATTATTATAAATTATTCCATATAAAAATAGGTAATATCTCAACCTTATAAGTTATCGTATTTTTCTTAATTATAGATATGATATATTTTTCTTTCTAATAAAAGATAATATATATATATATATATATATATATATATATATATATATATATATATTATTATAAATTATTCCATATAAAAATAGGTAATATCTCAACCTTATAAGTTATCGTATTTTTCTTAATTATAGATATGATATATTTTTCTTTCTAATAAAAGATAATATATATATATATATATATATATATATATATATATTATCTTTAATTTAAGTGAAGTGAGATTCATAATATTAAAATATAATTTTTTTATTAATAATTAAGAGATATAAAAAATAAGATTTTTATCTTTTATTATAGATCTTATATAAATAAAATTGTGATGACTGAAGTTTTAAAATAAATAATATATTATCATATTACAATGAATATGACATCATAAATATTTTTAGATATAAAATTAACAAATGAAAAAAGTATTAAAAAAATTCTCATAGAAATAATAGAGAGGTGTTGTTCTTCTCTCACAAAGTAAAAGAAAAAAAAAACACAATTAAATAAAGGAAAAATTCAACATAAAAGTGTGCAGAAATAACTGTAATTCTCGATATATTCTAAGTGAGCACTAATTTTTGTTTCGCTACGTATAGAAGAATGTTTCTTATATAGCTTGGTGTAGCATAGAGAAGAAGGAAACAATTCATTCAATATGAGACTAAGCTACTATCAATCAGACTATTTTCTTTGATTTTTTTATATTTTTTCTTCAATGTTAGTCATTAATGAAGCTGGCATTAGATTTCAACGTTCCTAGTATTTATGAAAGGAGATCATTTGTCCAAATCAAATTATTTTTCGGTAAAAATGTTTATTAAAGTTGTAAGGGTTCATTATCTTTATAAATTTTGTTTATTATGATGTATTTTATTTTGTACAGTTCTTGACGAAAAAATTGAGTTAGATTTGATGAATTGACACGTAAATTTGTTTTAAATTAACACATTAAATTGATAACTTTAATTGGTGAAACCGTTTTAACATGTCTTTTCTTACTGTTATGTAACGGATTAAGAGCAAGACAGATTCTTTGATTTGTTTTTTAAAAAAATATTTATATATTAAAATTAAAATTAAAATAATTATAATTTAAATATTGTATTTTTTATATTATATTATTAAAATTTATAAGTATATTATATATTATAATTAAAATTTTACTAAGGTTCGTATTTATTCATTGTTGTTTTCTCTTATGATTTTTATAATTATGTTATTTGTAATTGATATTTTTTTTCCACTTTTTTAATTAGTTATTCTCTCACTCCTAAAATGAAAGTAATTCTTTTTTCTTAACAAAATTTCAAACTAGAAAATGGTTTTAGAGAAAATATTAACTTAATTTCTTAATTTTTAAAATTAATTACGTCAATTAATTACAAAATATTTATAATTATTTATAAATTAGTCTATCTATTTATAAAAATATACCATTTTAGTAAAATTATTTAAAAGATGAAATATCTATAATTATTATGAAACATTTAATTTCGAATACAGACTAATATAATGTTATCTTATTCAACACTTATGAATTATTACTATTATTATTATTATTATTATTATTAAATTAGTAATTAGTTTGTTAGAGAAGGATTAAGTCAAAAAAAATTATTTAAATAGGTTATTTAGTATTGTACATGTTTTCTAAATATACATACAATATGCCACACTTTACAATAATAATCCATACTATTAGGAACTAAAACAGGTAAGAAGCTATAATTTGTTATAACTCTTAACCGTTTTCTAAGGAAAAACCTTGTTTTGTATCTCAATATATATAGTGCCTTGTTCATTGTTTCACCTCACTATCATCGCTCAGCCTTGGGCCATCCAAGGTGGTCAGATATGGCTCACCATTGCTCAAACAAGGCCCTAGGTTGTTACCTATTAATTTTCATTTGTGTGTCTCTTTCTTCAACCTATTCTTGTGCCCATCTTGGTCCTCAATTCATCCATTCTGAACCAATTGACCCAACAAAAATATATCCAGACTCTGATGCTTATGCACCGGCACCTGAAGTTGAAGATGACGCACAAATAGCCCCAGCACCCCAAATTGGTGCCTTTCCACCATCTATAGAATTAGAAAATGACGAATCCTTAGCTCCACCACCAACTAGCAACACAAATGAAAGGCTAAAAAAGGCCTATGTTGCTTTCCAAGCATGGAAAAAGGCTATTCACTCTGACCCTTTCAACATAACCGGCAATTGGGTTGGTCAAGATGTTTGCTCTTACAATGGTGTGTATTGTGCTCCTGCCCTTGATGATCCCACCTTGAATGTGGTTGCTGGTATTGATCTTAACAATGCAGACATTGCTGGGAGCCTTCCAAAAGAGTTAGAACACTTGAAAGATATTGCACTTTTCCACATTAACTCCAATAGATTTTGTGGTGTTATCCCAAAGAGCTTGGAGAATCTCACACTTATGCATGAGTATGATATCAGCAACAATCGCTTTGTTGGTGGCTTTCCTTCTGTGGTCCTCACATGGCCAAACTTGAAGTACTTGGACATTAGATTCAATGACTTTGAAGGACCCTTACCTCCAGAATTATTTGAGAAGGATCTTGATGCAATATTTTTGAACAATAACCGTTTCACATCCACCATCCCAGACACTCTAGGAAAATCCAATGCCTCTGTGGTGACTTTTGCCAACAACAAATTCAAAGGTTGCATTCCCAAGTCTTTTGGGAACATGAAGAAGGTGAATGAGATTGTGTTCATAGGCAACAAACTTGGAGGATGCTTCCCACAAGAGATTGGAATGTTGGAAAGTCTGACGGTTTTGGATTTCAGTGATAATGAATTTGTAGGGACTCTTCCTAACTTGTCAAGGTCGAAGAATATTGAGGTCATAGACATTTCACACAACAAGCTTAGTGGATATGTGTCTAACACTGTTTGCCAACTTCCTTCATTGAAGAACTTCACATTCTCTCACAACTACTTCAACAGAGAAGCTCAAAGTTGTGTGCCTTCTTCCAATTCCTTGGTGGCTTTGGATGACTCGAGCAATTGTTTGTCAGGAAGGAAAAATCAAAAGTCATCCAAGAAGTGTTTGTCAGTGCTGACTCGCCCTGTGGATTGCAACAAGCATTGTGGTGGAGGCAAAGGGAATAGCTCTAGTCCTAGCCATAGCCATGCACCCTCATCACCAAAGCCAACTCCATCTCCTAAACCGGAGACACCAAAAGCTGAGCCACCCCCAGTTCACTCTCCTCCTCCACCTATTCATTCCCCACCACCTCCACCGGTCCAATCCCCCCCACCCCCAGTTTTCTCTCCACCACCGCCAGTTTATTCCCCACCACCACCAATTTTCTCTCCACCACCTCCAGTCTATTCCCCACCACCACCTCCAGTTCAATCCCCACCAACACCAGTTTACTCTCCACCACCTCCAATTTATTCCCCACCACCACCTCCAGTCTATTCCCCACCACCGCCAGTTTTCTCTCCTCCACCACCTCCTCCAGTTCAATCCCCACCACCACCCGTTTTCTCTCCACCTCCTCCTATCTATTCCCCACCACCACCAGTTTCCTCTCCACCTCCCCCAGATCATTCCCCACCACCACCAATCTCCTCTCCACCTCCCCCAGTTCATTCACCCCCTCCACCACCAATTTTCTCTCCACCTCCCCCAGTTCATTCTCCACCACCCCCGCCACCGCCAGTTTCCTCTCCTCCTCCCCCGGTTCATTCCCCACCACCACCAGTCTACTCTCCTCCACCACCAACATTGGATGATGGCTTCCTTCCACCACACTTTGGCTCTTCGTACAGGTCACCTCCTCCACCTACAATTGCTGGCTACTAAAAGAGAACTCTGCAATGCCATGAACATCTTTGTCCTTCTTTTTGCTATGGTTCCAAAAATGTCTTCTGTGCAAAGCTGAGCTTCATGTCCATGGATTTTGTGTAACCACCCAAGGGGCTTCGTGAATTATAATTCTATAATATATATTTTGGGGCTTCATTTCCATAAATTCTTATTTTTATAACATGTTTTTATTCGTAATCAACTAATTCTTTTCTACCGTTACAAAGATGAATTACTATGCTTACACGATTTTGTCTTTTTCGTTAGTTCCTATAAATATCGTTAAACAAACGTTAGCTTATTTTATTTTTGTAAAATTGCATTTAAAAGATATATAAAGTGTGAACGACCCAATCCAAATCCGATGTAAAATTATAAGTCAGATTTTTTTCGTTGATGGAACTGTTTTGACCACACAAGAATAATAGGAATTAGAAGCTTTCATTTTAACAATTACGAAAACAATTTTAATATTGAAAAACATGTCTGTATTTAAAGTTTAATCTTTAATTCAATTATACTTTTACCCTCTTTTATTATGATTAATATATTATATGGTTTTTCCAATGTTTGTTTACATAATAAATTCCTTTTCATCTTAAAATAATCCCATTCATCACTTAGATTTTAATCTCCATCCAATTATTATCAAATAATGGTGATCAACTTATGATTTACATCATTATAACACGATTTACCGAATAATAAATTATTTTAATTTACTTAAAAAATATGCACCAGACTTTAAGTTTAATTTCGGAAAGAATTTTTAAGAATAAAATATATTATTTTAATATAAGTTTTATAATTAGAATTATGAATTGTTAAAATTTACATTAGAATAATATATTTTATTTTTAAGAATTTCGATAAATAACTCTTTCTGAAAACACCCTCAAAAGTTAATTCTTGATTAGGTGCGAGAAATCAGGTGTTGTACAAAAGACATTTGATATTTCTGAAAACACCCTCACAACAAAATATGTCGATTCCTTGTAATTAAATTATTAATTTTCATGTGCTTGTTTTGGTTTGGAGCCTAACTTTGCAGTCATTAATAATAACCTAAACCACCTAATTAGTCCATTACAAACATCACTATATTTAATCATAATTGGGCTTAAACCTGATAGAATTGGTGGTGGAAGTTTAAATAATTTAGATGAGATTATGAAAAAATATTAAAAAAATTATAGGCACTCAAACCTGATAGAACCGGTGGTATTTTTCCACCGGCATTTACAGCGAAATTTGAAGTATCAAAAAGTCTACTTCCAACCTTCCACACACTTTCATCGTCTTTTTTTCCTCCCAACTCCACATCGTCACTGGTCAACTAACTACACGTATCAATGTCAAAATTCAAACATTCTATCAACTTCCCACCATGCCTGTCTTTTCATGGATTCTTAAATAACTTTATTACGTTATATTTGTTATGCTTCATGATTATATATATATATATATATATATATATATATATATGCTCCAATATATTTAAGCAATATGTTAATTATTCTGCACTTATATTTTTTTTAAAATATTTTTATTTACTTTTTTTATAGTTAATTAAAGTAGTTAGGAAAAGACAAACAAGAAAGGAAAGTTACACCAGTGTTAATGAAATTGCAAAAAGTGAGACGTGGACTTGTTTTCTACACCAAGATCGTCATCATTGCTTAAGTATAAGTTATTTATTTTGATTTTATAAATTTTTATAATATGATCTAAATTCAAGAACTACAACAAAAATTTACTATACTATAATTACTAATACGAATGTTTATTTCAATTTTAAAGATCCTACCATTATTTTAGTATTAAAAATCCTTGAAATATTTTCTTTACTAATATTCTTTTTTAACATAAATCATTTTAAACAATAATAGTTATACCAATACATTTTATTAAGTATAAATTTTATTAGGTAACTTAAAATTATTTAGTTTCAAATCCCTTCATAGTTAAAGAGTTTAATTTTCGTTCTTAATTCATAAATTATTTTTTAAAAATAAAATCACGATGGATTAAAATTATAATGATAATTGATAATAATAATAATAATAATATTGTTATATTAGACACAGGTTGATATAATCTCATTTTTAGACCGGAAATTAACATGTGTCATAAAGTAAATTATAATCTTACACGAAAACAAATCTCATAATTAGAAAATCAAGATATTAAAAAAAAAAACAAAAATTTTGTTACGTGGAACGGTTCTTTGTTAGACTTCACATTAGACTTCACATTATATTAAACATATTTCCTCTTTCTCTCATAACATATAATTTTCTTTATTTCAACTTTCCAAGGAAAATACATTTATTTTCTTTCTTAATTCATTGTGTATATATAGTCAATCTTCCATCTTCTATTCCCCATGTAGAAGAGATCATTTTCTCTTTAACCTCACAACCCAACATCTCTTCTCTTCTCTCTTACACTCAACCTAATCTTTTGTTCTGGTTGTGTAATTTATAATTTCTCGTGATGGGCAATTACATTTCTTGCACTTTGGCTCCTCCTTTGATCAAGAACACAAGGTCAACACGCGTGATCTTCCCCACGGGTGAGGTGAAGCAATACAAGAAAGCAGTGAGTGTTGCAGAGCTGATGATGGAGTGCCCCACTAACTTCTTAACCAATTCCAAGTCTCTACACATTGGACGAAGGTTTTCACCTCTCGCAGCCGACCAAGGGTTGGAGTGTGGCAACCTCTACATCTTCTTCCCCATGAGAAGACTCAATTCCGTCGTCACCGCCGCCGACGTGGCCGCGCTCTTCATGGCGGCCAACATGAGGGCCAAACGGATATCTGGAGTTAAAGATTTAATGTCACGTGATCATCATCACTCGAGTGTTGGAGTACACAATGAAGAGTCGAGGTTGGAAGGGTTTGAAGTTGAATTAGGGTTTCGGAATAGGTTCAGTTATTGTAGGTCAAGGAAGCCTGTGTTGGAAACCATCAATGAGGAACCCTTTTGGTTGAGGTGAAAAAAAGAACTGAGTTTTAGGTATGTTGTGGTGATTTTTTTTTTTCTTATCAATGATCATGTAGAAAGTTTGATGTAGTGCATGGTGGGTTTGTACAAAGTTTATTAATGTTGAGTTGATATTTGGTTTTCATAAGTTTCAACGAGAATATTAATGGTGTGTGAACTGGTGAACCATTTTTGTGGCTTGAATTAATGGTAAAGAAAAGTAATGTGGTGTAGGTGGGAAGAAGAACCAATGAGAAAGTTGCAACGCGGAAGATGCATTAATTGTTCACTTGTGGACCATTGCGACTGAGAAGTTATACACCAGTTGAGAACAATCTTCTTCCATGCAAATTGTTATTCATACGGCTTCTCCATGAGTTGCTTTGTATTTTTCTCTTTAAAAAAATTGTAAAATATAATAAAATTTAAAAGATTTATTCTATTTTCTTATTTATTTTGTTTTATTTATTTTTATAAATTATTTAATAAAATAATTATTAACAAAAATTTAAGCAATTATGATTTTTTTTCAACAAAAACTATTTAAAATAACTAATATTTTATTTAAATATTATTTAGTTTTCAAAAACATACTTTTGATTCTTTAATATCTAAATATATAAACGTGAATTTGTTATAGATAAAAGTTTTATCTCGTGTTAGCTTTTACAACAATCTTAAGGACTTAAAGTTGACAAGATTCGAATATCAAAAACTTCGTTTTACAATATTAGATAGTGAAAGAAATGTAATTATGAAGTGTTCATTGATCAAGTTTAGTCTTCTAATTATGATTCATGTATCTTATTATATAAGAATCAATTCATGTATATTATTATATAATTATGATTCATATATACTATTATGTGAGAATAAAGAATCTAAAGATAGAATTAGTAACATATAAAAATTACAAATTAAAATACATGTGGTATCAGAACCATATTTATTAGATTTATGAATTTTCTCTTATGATATTTTTTAAATTACGCTTTTCCCAAATTAAGATAAATCCTAATTATGAATTTAGGATTTCTATATCATATTAACATGAACCTTAATTTTTGTTTTCCATTACATTCAATTTTTTATTGAAATATGAACGGTCATGTAATTCTTATTGAAAAGATAAATGATGTGATTGGGTTAAAGGTGAATCATGTATGAAATTGGTTTCTGCATGTTATAATTATGATAGAAAATGTTTGGATGTTATAATTATGATAAAAAAAAATTGGATCAAAGTGATGTCATCAAACACATGTTCCTTTTCCGATTTATTACACCAATGCAACAGAGAAAATGAAGAATGCATTATGCATATTATTTTATGTTATGTATAATTATGATAGAAAATGTTTGGATGTTATAATTATGATAAAAAAAATTGGATCAAAGTGATGTCATCAAACACATGTTCCTTTTCCGATTTATTACACCAATGCAACAGAGAAAATGAAGAATGCATTATGCATATTATTTTATGTTATGGGAGAAATTATGCAAAATTATTATATGTTATGGGAGATTTTCTATGTGAATAATTAGCAGTTACATGTATACAATGCATGACTTAGATCTACATATTATTTTGTCCATACTTGTGTAAGATATTATTTTGTCTACATATTATTTTGTATATACGTGTGTATGATATTCTACATACTATTTTATACATACATGTGTATGATATTATTTTGTCTACATATTATTTTGTTCATACGTGTATAGGATATTATTTTGTCTACATATTATTTTGCACATACATATAGAAAGTTTGAGACTATATGAAACCATAACGGAATTGAGTACATACATATAAGAAAGTTTGAGACTGTATGAAATCATAACGGAATTGAGTCTTTAACCAAAACAATAATTTTAATTCTCGTCCTAATGGATCTAATTTCATCTTCAAGAAAAAGGAAAATAAATTTATCTTTAGAAAGTCAGGTCATCATGCACCTCAATGCAGACGTAGAATGAGAAACAACAATCCTCCTAAGGCAATTTTAGTCAAACGAGAAGATATAATTATTGTGGTCATTTCCCAAATAAACCTTGTGACAAATGTGAGTAAATGTGTGGTAGACTATGGTGCTACCAGGCACATATGTACAAACAGAAGTGTTTTTACCTCCTACACTATTATGGGGATGGAGAAGAACATGTTTACCTCGGTGATTCCAAGACAACTCTTGTCTTAGAAAAATGAAAATTTCTTCTAAAGCTCACATCCAGAAAGACTCTGGCCTTGAATGATGTGCTACATGTGCCATTAATCAGAGTCAATCTAATCTATGTAGCATTGTTGGAAAAATTTAGGGTTAAAGTGTCATTCGAATCTGATAGGATTGTGTATGACAAAAAATAATGTGTTTGTAGGGAAGAGATATTGTGATCAAAGTTTTTTTTTTTACTTAACATCTCTTAGGTTGTTAATAAATCTTATTTTTTTGCTTATATTATTGATTCATATGATCTCTGACATTTATAGATGACCACTTTACATACAACAAATTATACTTAATCAAACAACTCTAGTGCATCAAATAATCTCTGAGAGAATATATACTTACAATGTGTTTTTTTAAGAAAACTGATAAAACTTCCTATGAGTTATGAAGAGGTTATAAACATAATCTTAAATATTTAAGAATGTGGGGTGCCGAACTAAGGTAATGCTACTCGATCATAAGAAAAGGAAAATAGGTTCTAAAACTTCTGATTGTATGTTATTAGGCTATGCAGAACATAGTGTTGCTTATAAGTTTCTTGTCCTCAAAAGTGGTGTAATTGAGCATAATACTATAATGGAGGCAAAAAAAATGTTGAGTTCTTTAAAAATATTTTTTCTCTAAATGTTAGTGAGACACCTAAACAATATATATTAATAGTAATAAAATATATGAGGATTTGAAGAGAAGTAAAAGACAGGGAAAGGAAACCTCCTTTGGAGATGATTTCTATACTTACCTAGTTGAAAATGATTCAATGAGTTTTTTAGAGGTTACTAAGGGTTCCTGATGCAATACATTAGACAAGGCCATTAAGACTAAAATTGATTCAATTAAGAAAAATAATACTTGAACTTTGGTAGATTTACCTAAAGGAACATAACCTATTTGTTTAAAGTGGATCTTTAAGAATAAGTATCATCCGGATGGATCCATAGATAAATATAAGACAAAATTAGTAGCAAAGAGTTTTACTTAAAAATCCAATATTGATTATTTTGACACCTTTACCCGTGTAACTAGGATTTCCTCTGTTCGAGTTTTGTTAGCTCTAGCAGCTATCCATAACTAGTTATACACCAAATGGATGTTAAGACAACTTTTTTGAATGGTGAATTTGAGGAGGAAATTTATATGATTCAACTGGAAGGGTGTGTTATTCCAAGTCAAGAGAATAAAGTGTACAAACTTTTAAAATCCTTGTATGGATTAAAACAATCACCAAAACAATGACATGAAAAACTTGATAGTGTTCTACTTTGTAATGGCTTTTCAACTAATGATGTTGATAAATGTGTGTATTCTAAATTTGAGAGTGGTGAATGTGTCATTATATGTTTATATGTAGATGACATGTTAATATTTGGTACATGCATTTACATTGTCTCCAGAACTAAGTTATTTCTGGAATCTAAATTTAAAATGAAAGATATGGGTGAAGTCAATGTGATTTTGGGAGTTAAAATCAAAAGGAAGGGCGATAGTATTTTTCTATCTCAAGAACAATATATTGAGAAACTTATCAGGAAGTTTGGACGTTATAACGTCAAACCAGTGAATACCTCTTACGACACTAACTCTAAGTTAAAGAAAAATAGAGGAGACTCAATCTCTCAACCTCAGTATGCCTAGGTAATTGGGAACTTACTGCATTTAATGAGCTTTTCTAGACCTGACATTGCTTATGCAGTAGGTAGACTGAGTAGGTACACTCAATGTCCTAATCAAAAACATTGGAATGCACTTACAAGACTTATGATAAACTTAAGAGGTTCAATGGATTATGTCATTGAATATAGTAGATTTCACGTTGTACTAGAAGGGTACAGTGATGCTAAATGGATCTCTAATTCAGATGAGACAAAATCCACTAATGGTTATGTATTCACACTCGGGGGTGGTGAGATTACATGAAAATTAGCCAAACAGACAATTATTGCACGATCAACAATGAAATCTGAATTTGTTGCTCTCAATATGGTTGGTAGTGAAGCTAAGTGGTTGAAAAACTTCTTAGTAAATATTCCATTAGGAATGAAACTGACCCTGTCTGTATCAATACACTGTGATTGTCAATCGGCAATAACTATAGCTAAAAATAAGAACTATAATGGAAAAAATAGACATATACAATTGAGACATAATTTAGTGAAGCAGTTGCTAAAGAATGAAATAATTTCCATTGACAATGTAAAGTCAGAACGGAATCTAGCAGATCCTCTGAAAAAATCCTTAGTGATAAATATGATTTTAGAAATATCGAGGGGAATGAGACTTAAGCAACTTGCAAACAAACAGGTGATGATAACCCAACCTTTGTGATTGGACATCCCATGAAAAAGGTTCATATGGGTAAAAACAAGTCATTTGTTAGTTCTGCTAGCACTAAAATTGATTAAAATCAATTATATCCATTCCTATGGTGTATATGTGAAAGTGCTAGATACTTCATCATTGAGAGGTTAAACTGTGTAATTAAAATTCTATGTGGTGTACGAATTTTAGTATAAACAAAGTTTTTAACGATTTCATATCCCTTAAGGGTGATTTGCAACATAGGCTTGATAAAGTCACCTATTGAGTGTCGAGTGAGGCCGATTGTATGAGATCTTTGCAAGATTTCTAGAGTACTCATAAATACCGGGCATGCGCATGACCTAATAAGCGCAACACAACGATAACAGCAAGAATTGTGGGGTGTATTGTGATAGTTAAAACCGCTAACATACATTAAGTATTTTGATTCATATAGCTTGCTACACCAACTACACTGTGTGTTAAGTTTTTCAGTCTAAGACTGGTTCATATAACTTGTTATCTGATGCATTACATCTTATATGAGACCCATAATTTTCTTCTTTTATTCTTTTATCTCCTTTTATTTTGCAATATGTGGGGGATTGTTGTAAATTAAGGGGTATTGCAAAACTTAGAACGTGTTCCCACAATCAGAGAACGTGTTCTCACACGTTACAGAAGACCGTTTCAGAGAACGTGTTCTCAAGTTACAGAAGACTATTTCAGAAAACGTTGCAGAAGACTATTTCAGAAAACGTTGCAGAAGACTGTTTCAGAGAACGTTACAGACTCACTACCAAGTCTTCTCATAACTGCTACAAACTTTCTCCTATAAATAAAGACCACTTCACACTCTTCACAAACACATTTCTCTCATCTTCTTTCTGTTATCCTGGGTTAATTGACTCTTTTGAGAGTTTCTTGCTAGTTTATGAGATCCTCGGATATTCCGAGAAGTTCTTATTGTATCCTAGGGACTTGTTCAATACATCGCGGATAAGTCCTTAAGACAAGTAATTATACACGCCTTAAAATTAAAATTTGTTTGTGTCTCTATCAGCTTTTACAACAATTATGTATGATTAAACTATTATGTGTTTGCATAATTTGTTATATATAAAAGAACGTGAAACTAAAGCAAAATATTTTTTTTAAAAATTAAATAATCACTAATAATAATATTTAAATATTAAAGCACTAGTACGACATTCTTTTCCACCGACACAAAATTCTTTACCTTATTTTAAAAAATATCACGTAAAATTACTTATACAAATTTTTTTCCTGTCTAGACATTGAACTAAAAAAAAAACATTGTATCATAAAGCATGTTCTTTTACAAATTATCACATAATTTGCTATATTATTAATTAGTATTTGACTTAGACTGAAAACAATAAGGATGCCTTTTTACATTAAAAGTTGAAATTTAAACTTAATATATATAGAAATCAATTATTTATAAAAAATATAAAAATTGAAAAATTTGCATAATAACAACTAAACACCGATAAAAAGTTTTTAAAAACCTTGATTATGGCATGAATATCATGTTTTATATAAATATAAAAATAGTATATATATATATATATATATATATATATATATAAAATAAACATAAAGTCAAAAAAATAATTTTATTTATATACAGTCAATATTTTAAATTCATTTTTTTATTTAATTTAAAGATAAAACAGTAAAGGATTTTTTTATTTTATTATTAACTTCCTCAAACATAACTTAAAAAAATCAACACATATGATTAAAATTTGAAGGTAAGACCCATTTCTAAATAACCATATTTTTTTTATACTCGTGATACATTTTGTGATCTTTAATAATATTATTTATGAAAAAAAAATGGTAAAAATATCTTATATATATATATATATATATATATATATATATATATATATGAAAAAAGTGATGTTATTAAATTTAAACAACCATTAGAGATGTGATGATATTTATGAAAATTTGTAAATATTTAAAATTTTTTCAGAATAAATTACTACAAGAAAATCATTAATTATAATTATCAACAGATATGTAGTTATCGAAAAATGAGTGATTACCAGTGGAAATTATAGACAAAAATTATAGAATGATTATCGACAAAAATTAGTTTTCGATGGATATATCCGTCAATAAATATTTAGAATATATAAATATATTTTTATTTATATATTTTATATTTATATATTTACACATATATATATATATATATTTACTTGTATATAAGTATAATTTATTTGTAAATTATTATTGAAAAATTGTAATAGCTTAATAATTAAAGTATTAATCTCTAATTTTAAGATATGAGTTCGAATTTTAACTGTAACAATTATCTTAATTTGACACATAGTATAAGGGGGAGGGGGCTTTTGTATTAAGTTTTTACTGGTTAATTAAGTGGGATGGTGGAAAAAAAGGGTTTATGCAGCAATGGTTTAGGGTTTAAAGTTTTCCAACAAGAAAAGAAAACCACTGACGCCTCTTTACTATTATGAATATTACTTCAATAAGAATGGGAATTATAGAAAAGATAAAGATGTAAAACAATATCTAATATGTTTTGTGTTGGTATGAAATTTTAAGTATATCAAATATGTCTTCTTCTATATTTTTTTTTCTAAATTTAAACATAATTTTTAGATTTTATTAAAAATAACGACACCATGTTATTGAAATAATGATTTAAACCAGCTTTTTTTATCTACTGCTATTTATAAAAAATACGAAAAGATATATTTAAATTTTAAAATATTTAAAACATATGTTTAAATTTTAGAAAGATAAAAGCAATAAAATAATTTTGCAGATGTGTTGATAGACGGAAGTTTCCGAAAAAACAGAATGTGAAAATATAATTTTCGTTTTAAATGAAGATATTAAAAATCTCTGAACAACCACCACGTTTCCACTGCTACAACAACAACCTTAGTTTCCTCCCATTCAGTTTGTCTTCGTTTAGACTGGTGGGGTCAATAATCACTATTGACGGAGATCGCGTTTTCCACGCACCAACTTTTTTAGTGCATTACTATCCGTTGACTTACATGTGCTGCACAAAAAGCATTTTTAAATAAATAAAAAAAAATAGCTTTTGGAAGTGAGAATAATTTATACAGTGAAAATAATTTATACACTTAAATTTTATTTAAAAATCCATTTAGTTTTTTTAAAAGTGATGATAAATCATAAAATGATTTAATTTTACCAAAGAATTTAATATAGTTTAGGATTTTTCTAAGAAACATGACATGACTCTTCATGTCAATTTCTCCCATTTTTTCAATCACCGGTGGAAATATTAGTATGCTTTCTATCGTTGTATTGTATAAATTACAAGTGTAACTGTTTCGCTACGTTACCATTTAGTTTAGCGACAGATACAAACGAAACAGAGTACAGGTGCTCAAATATGGAGAAAGCAATTCAAAGACAGAGGGTCCTGCTTGAGCATCTTCAACCCAGTTCTTCAAGTTCGAGTTTTTTGCACCAAACCCATCAATCTACGGATCTCTCAGTAAGTGGGTGTTTCATTTTTCTTTTAAACTTCTCTGTTTTTCAAAGTTGTGCTTACTACGATTGCTGTCTATCTTCATGAGCTTATGATGTCTTTGTTTATGTAATATTAGTGCATAAATTTGATCTCTTGCTAACTGAATGCTATTCAGTTTCGTTGACTGTGACTTGATGTTGTCAGTCTGACTTAAAGGTGTCGGTGAGGATCTAAGGTTCATTAATGGTTGTGGACCTAAAAATTTTACAACATTCGATAAATTCTAAAGTATATGTGGAAATGTAAAAGATTATAGTCTAAAGTTTTTTTATTCAGGATCTGTTGAACCATCCTTCACTTTCTGAAGTATATGTGGAAATGTTTTACTATGTTCAAGCCTCTTTTCCATTTCTTGTTAGGCTTCACTGTGTTTTGCTGGGAACTCTTCACATGGGCAAAGAGGTGGATCAGAAGATGATGTGGTGATTGTAGCGTAAGTTCGCCTATATAAATCATTCTATCTGTGTGATTTCTAATTCTCTGTTTTGTGGTAATAATCCAATTAGTCCTTGAAAAATACGTGTCAATGCTAGTCCATAGAAGTAATGTAGCTTTAGACTTCATTATACCCTAAACCTAGACCCTAGACTTCATTAAGTTTATTATTTAACTATATATGATTTTAAGATTCATATATTTATTAACAATCAAGTTGACTTGCCCATTTCTCATATTGTGGGATCTTAATCGAACTGAGTTCGGATTTAAATAAATGATCTTATCAAAATTTTGTGTCAGATGAATACATATATTCATGCCATGAGCACCCTTACTTAGAAGATGAGAGATATTACATCCCCTTGTCGCTGAATATACATATGATCATAATATTACTAATGTGTATTTTGACTGTCAAATTAGTCCATGGGTCAGAGAGTAGTTTGACCGATGAAATACACATTCATGGAAAACTTGGATATCATTCAAATACTTGGACTAGTTTGACTGCCTCTGTGATTTTCCTATTATCATTAAAAAATATGGTTTAGTTTGATCAATGATATATCATTCTTTTTGGGACAAATTTGTGTATTTACTCTATGATTTTGTTAATGAAATTATTGAACCTTTATATGCAATAACCAGGGCATATCGAACTGCCATTTGCAAAGCAAAACGTGGGAGCTTTAAGGATACCCTTCCTGATGACCTTCTTGCCTCAGTTCTGAAGGTAATTCTTTCATTAATATAAAGAGATTGGAAAGAACATTATTAAGTATGAAAAATGCTTTAGTGAACACTTATAATGGTTTTTTATTGGATCATGTCAACCTTGAAATGTTTTGTGCTACTTTTGATGATCCGTGGTTTCTTTCTCTTACTTCTCTTATGTTCTGTAGTTTCTAAACTATGAGTTTTCCTATAGGCTGTGATTGAGAAAACAAATGTGGACCCAGTAGAAGTTGGAGACATTGTCGTGGGCACAGTACTGGCCCCTGGATCAGACAGAGGAATTGAGTGCAGAATGGCTGCCTTTTATGCAGGTTTCCCAGGTACATTTTGTAGTCTTCATTGAACATGATTTATATGAAATCTTTGATTTTACTGAATGTAGAATTACTCATGGGGTGGCTTCATATGATTATGCTTGAAGGTAGTATATATTATATTTTGGGCACGATTTCTTATATATGATGATTCTCATTCAATTTTCAACCAGAGACTGTGCCTCTTCGAACTGTCAATAGGCAATGTTCATCTGGACTGCAGGCAGTTTCTGATGTAGCTGCTTATATAAAAGCCGGGTTCTATGACATTGGTTAGAATGAATGAACTTAAACTGAATGTTAAAATTCCATGGCCTTGTTTTTTCTTTTGCCTAATCTTCCTATCATGCAGGTATTGGGGCTGGAGTGGAGTCTATGTCCCATGACACTGTCAATAGGCTTAGCAACATTAACCCAAAGGTATGTGTAGAAGTTGTATATTTTGAAGTCCACATTTTCCTTTGAGATATGTTTGGCTTGACTTTTCATTATATTAACAGGTAGAAACCTTTGCACAAGCCCGGGATTGTCTTCTTCCTATGGGGATAACTTCTGAGAATGTGGCACAGCGCTATGGCGTGACAAGGCTAGAGCAAGATCAGGCTGCTGTGAGTATGACAAAAGTATTGAATAAGCTAAGGGTCTGTTATGATAAATTTCTCTGTAAAGCACTTCTAGAAAAAGAAGAAAAGTACAATAAGTTCTTTCATAAGATAAAATTAGCTTATGCATGAGTTAAAAATCTAATTTGAAGAACCTAAATGAGAGTTTCTATAAATTAGCTTTTGCATAAGCTGGTTTTAGCTTATAGAAGAAACTTATCCCATTTTTTTTTTTTAAATTTTATCCTAAAAGTGTTTGTAGAGAATTTTGTCCTAAAAGATCCTAAATATATATGAAAAATATTAGGATGCATGAACTTGTAATTTGTATAATTAGGTTGAGTCTCACAAGCGTGCTGCAGCTGCAACAGCATCAGGTAAATTCAAAGAAGAAATCATTCCCGTTTCTACAAAGGTAAGCATCAACTGCCAAAATGATTTCTCCTTTAGTATTATTATATTATGCTACTAATGATTTTGTTTTCAAAGTTTGTGGACCCTAAAACTGGAGTGGAGAAGAAAATTGTTGTGTCTGTTGATGATGGTATCCGGCCAAACACAAACATAGTGGATTTGGCAAAGCTGAAGCCTGCATTCCACAAAGATGGATCTACAACAGCAGGTATTAAAGAAATATCTTTTGTTTACTTTGTTACCCTCCGGGAAATCTTCTACCTTGTGAATATATTGTTGCCAATCTCTTCTTTCAATTTCAGGGAATGCTAGCCAAATTAGTGATGGTGCAGGAGCTGTGCTCCTCATGAAGAGAAGAGTGGCTGTGCAAAAAGGGCTTCCTATTCTTGGAATCTTCAGGTAAACAATAACAATGCATGATCAAAGAAACTACTAAAATACTAGTCACATCAGATGCTAATGTAGACACAGACTTGCATGTATCGTATAATGTGCACAGACCTGGATTTAGCCCTGAAGTACATGTGTTTTTTTTATCCGAACTCAATGTCTCTCTATAGAAGCTGCACTTTGAACTAGTGATGTGATTAAGATAATACCAAACTACAAGAGAGCCTTAGAAGTCAATATTAGAATTTTATATGCTGAAAGGATATATGAAATCAGTAACTGAAAAATTTTAGTTAGAAACCTATTCAGACATGGACTTACTGAAGTCAGGTTTCCAGTAGAACCTTGTTCATTATTTTTTCTATTTTTCAAAAATTGAAAATCATCTCACAAGTGAGTTCAATTTTTCAGGAGTTTTGCTGCTGTTGGAGTAGATCCTGCAGTCATGGGTGTTGGCCCAGCTGTTGCCATCCCAGCCGCTGTGAAATCTGCTGGTCTAGAACTTGGCAGCATTGACTTGTATGAAATCAATGAGGTAAAGGTTTTAAGTTGTCACTATAGACGTTTTCTAGACAAACTACTCTATAAACATTTATAGTTATGGGAGAGGAAAATAAGAAAGTAATATGCATTAAAGTCCTCTCACACTGTAATCAATTTATACACCTTACCTCTAGGAGAAGTAAGATGACAGAGTTTGTATCAAAGTTAAGTTCATGAGTCCATTTTAGCTTTTGGAAGAAGGTAAACTTATTTTACTTTCTTATTTTCTTCTTCAACAAGTGTTCAAAGGAAAAGTTTATTCAATTAGGGTCTTAACTTTATAACTACTTTTTATTGCATGTTTTCACAGCCAAGTCTAACTTGTAATAAGTGTTAATCAATATAATGGTTTTGTGTTGTAGGCATTTGCATCACAGTACGTTTACTGCTGCAAGAAATTGGGACTTGATCCCAGAAAGGTCAATGTCAATGGTGGTGCCATTGCTCTTGGACATCCTTTGGGCGCTACAGGTGATGTTGAGAGATGTTTTCATCAGAAATTTATCTTACTTTCCGCTTATTATTTCTTACTAAATGGAAGAGGCAAAGCTAAAATCTCCAGAGAGGCACATCTTTACATTACTGTAACATGTTTACTCATCTATATTTCATCTTACAACCAGGACAAGCCCTCTTACACTTACAGTTGAACAGATTAATTCCGTTAATCTATCATGAACCCAATGCTGACTTTGTTAGTGAATTTTCATGCTGCCATTTTGTGACAGGTGCTCGCTGTGTTGCAACATTGTTGAATGAGATGAAACGCCGTGGCAAGGATTGTCGCTTTGGTGTAATCTCAATGTGCATAGGTGATTTCTTCTTTTAAGTCTCTCTCCATCTCACACATACCAGTAAAAACAAACGAATATTTGAGAAAATATGTAACTAAAATGTGAAAGTATATATTTTTTTTATTTAGTTGAAGTTAAAATTAGTTTTGTGATATCATCCAAAAATTTGGAGATAAGTTTTGAAAATCATTTCGGGTTTGTTGGGCAAAATGGCAAATTTATTTTACCAGGTAAATGTATAGCTAGTTATGTAGAAGTTTTTCTAAACAAGACCTATCCTGTTTAATATTAGTTTTTGGAGAATCTAAATGAAATATTTTTTTCATTTAGATTAAGAGTGTTGTTATTCCTTTCATATAACATCATTGAAATGTGCATCATTTCAGGGTCTGGTATGGGAGCTGCTGCTGTTTTTGAAAGGGGAGAGTTTTGAAGATTTGTGCAGGTTTATAATGGTTGGAATAAATAATGATCTTGGTTCACAGGATGCTTGATATTGGACCTCATTTGAAACTCTATATTGTATTCTGTTTTGATCGAAATGTTGCAAAAACAATTGGCAGTTTCGACAAGATTTGTTATAACCATGATTATTAAGTGCAAAATAGATAGCAGTTTTAATTCACCAAAACATTGAGTAAATAATTAATAGTGAGGGTGTATATGAAATTTTTAGAGGATAATTAATTCTTATAAATTTTTTTTCAATGTTTTACGTATAATATATTGTTTGAATATAGAAATTTAAAATAAATTGAAATTTTATAAATAATAGTAATTTGATTATTTAAAATGATAGAATTTTAAAATTAAAAAAAATAATAATTTAAAATTCTTCGTATTCTCTTCACAAAAATAGGTAGTTAGCTCAATTTCAATCGATTCAAATTGAAGAGTCCCATAACTGACGTGGATAGAGTTTTGGGTAATATTTAATCTTTTTCTTCCCCAACTTTCATAATTTATTCATTATTGTCTTCTTGTAATTAAAATATATTTTCATTTTATTCTTTTATTTATCTTCTCCCCGGTTTGGATCTTTCTAAAATACAACTGATTCTTCTAAAAATATATTTAGGATTAACAATTTTATAACTCATTTTAGAAATACTTAATTTAAAATATATTTTTTTTATAACTCATTTTAGGAATACTTAATTTAAAATATATTTTTAAAATACTCAATTTAAAAATAAGTTTTAAAATAACTTATCTAAAATGCATTTACAAATTAAATATCTTCAAAATGTATTTTTGCATTTGTTATTTTAAAAATACATTTTAGATTGAATAATACATTTTGAATGGATGATTTTAGAATTTATATTTTAAACACTAAATTCGAAATATATTTCTAGAATACTTAGTTTAATAATGAGTTCCAGAACACTTAATTTAGGTTTCAGAATTCATTTTTCAAACATTAAATCTGGAATGTATTTCTAAAACATTTAGTGAAAAATGAGTTTTAGAATAACTAATCTAGATATGTATTTCTAAAACACTTAGTACAAAAATAAGTTTTAAAATAACTAATATAGATTTATATAATACCTAATCCAAAAATGAATTCCAGGACCATTAATCGAGAATATATTTTTAAATTAAATATTTTAAAAATATATTTGTCATTAATTAATCTGGAACTCACTCTAAGGATATGGAAATATGTTCTAAATTAAGTTGTCCGAATTTTTATATATATATATTTTAAGTCTAATTTTCATAGACATGGACAGATACATGTAAATTAATAATATATAATTTTATGGATTGAAAATAATCTTCAATAGAAATAGAAGGACAATAAATCAAAGATTGACAAGTTATAAAGATTCAAACGTATAAAGTAGAGGAAGATTGAAAAAAAAATTATAATTTCAAATAAAAATTAGTAAAAAGATATTTTAATCAATTTAGATGAATTATGAAGAGAAAAGAAAAAATTATGGAAATGTGTAACACAATATTTATCATATATTTATATCACATTAATATTTAAATTATTATGTTTAAATTATTACTATAATAATTTAGTGGTAATTTAGTTTTTTTAGTTTGCTAATTTTTTTACTAAATAATTTATTATATCCAATTAATAATATAAATCAAATTAAGGTTTAAAAAATAAAGTTTGTTTTATAAAATAAATATAAAATTACTAATTTTTAAAATAAATAAATTAAACAAAAATACATAAACACGAAGAAAAAATATTTATTTATTTTAAAGAATAAACAAAGCAGCTTATATATTCTCTGAACTTATCCGTGTCCAAATTTGATTCTCTTCTTTATTAGGTTAATTATACACACGAACAACTTCACTTAACATAAGCACACAATTTGACGTAAAAACGACGTCGACTTGTTTCGTCGTTGGCACGCTCTAAAAACCTCGAAAACGACGTTTGCCATTGTTTTGCAGGAACAGTCGCAACTTCCACCAAAATCCAAAACGACAGAACATAGCAGATCGAAATTCCGTAGCATAAGGAACAACAATCCCCCATTGAGTGTCTTCACGCACACCAATCCCCGAAAACTAATCTCATCGGAATCTCCGCAAAAAAAAAAAAAATGGATGGCAAAACGCAGTCCGAGAGTAAGCAAAACGACGACGAGGAAGTTGGGCAAAAACCACAAGTGCCTGAACCGTCGTCAGGAGGGTGGGGCTTTTCGCCGTTTTCGTTTCTCTCTGATCTTCAGAAAGCCGCCGCTGTTGCCGCCGAAGAGATCTCTCGCAATGTGCGTTGCCAAACGGCACACTTTTGTTTTTATATCTTTTTTTTATTTTTTATTTTGAGATCTCTCGCAATACATTCGTTTCAATCTCTGAATTTGTTGTTGATTTGTGCTATTAATGTGGTTTTCCCTTTTTGTTATCGTGTTAGTTTTTGTAATAGTTTTATTATTATGAAACTTGGCTTATCTGATTTCTGTATAGTGTTGCATGTGGTGTTTTTGGTTAACAATTTTTATTTATTTATTTTTGCTAATTTAGCTGATAGTGAGTTCGTCAGTGTCGAATTCTCAAGTTCAAGGGTTTCATAGCGTTTAGAGTTTAATATTTTATAATTTTACTTTTGAAGTAAACTATACTAAGGTTATTGTCGATTGGAGTAGAAAATGAACATGTGGGAGAGAGATTAATGCTTTCTTTTTTCAATAATTCTGTCTTAATTGCCTAAAAAAGATTATATTGAATGAGAAAAGTTGACGCATGAATGTCTAGGAAATTATTAACTAGTACTTGATTATTACGAAAGAATGATTGGAGAAGACTATGTAAGGGTTATATTTTGAATGAAAAGGGCTGTGTTTGTGGGAAAGATATTAATGCTTTATGCCCCTAATAAATTATATCTTAACTACTTGAAATGGATAATATTGAATGAAAAAGAAGAGGCATTAATAATTTGGAAATTATTTAGATTTGGAGGATTATTAGGAATAATCATTAGAAGGGCATCCAATTATTTGTTGTGAATTAATGGTGTTTTGAAATGCAGGCTGCTGTAGTTGCACAGACAGCATCTAAGAGCATTGCGGAGTTGCAAAATGAAGCTGAAGATTCAGAATCTTCCAAAGAGGGTGAAGGGACTGAAGGATCTGCAGCTGAGAAGGAAAGTGACGATGAGGGTACCAAACTGCGAAAATCTGCCCTGGATAGATTGGAGAAAGCTAGTGAAGATTCAATGTTTAGTCAGGCAAGCATATAAAGATACCCTTCCTTGGGGGATTGGGGAGGGTTAATTTGCAGTTTCGATGTTAGAATTTATTGGATTTGAGCATCTCCCGCATATTATGCAGATTTATTCATATGTCTTTGCTATGAATCAGCAAATATGCAGATTTCCTGTTCAGTGTTCACTATCCCTTTTGCTCATCTTTAACACTTACATTTTTCTGCTGATTGATGGATGGAACTAGTACTATCTAGCTTCTAGAATATGCTTCTATAGCTCTTGTCTGTTATAGGTATGGTTTTGTATAATGATTGCCATGGGTTGTGAGTAACAACAAGCAACATTTTTAATGAAGACAGTTGATGGTTTAACTTTGCTCACTGTCTACAAGGGAAAAATAATAATTGCGTTTTCAGATGCAAAATTTAGGCTTTTTAGGTAGTCTGTTTTCATACATTAAGCACTTATATCCAAGTTCCTTAATGTGTGTAGGGGTTGAAGGCTTTTGATAGCTCTGTGGAGACTTTTGCTTCTGGAGCATGGAGTGCTTTAGGAAATGCATGGAGAGGGAGCACTGATTTTGTTCAGAGGTATAATTCATTGCTTTATTTATTTAATTTTTTTATTTTAACATTGGCCCACATGGGGTTTGTTTTGTATGTCTAGTCACTGATCATTGTTCTGGTGGATATGTTGATAATTTGATGGAAATAAGCATCTATGCTACTTGATAATATGTAACTAGTGTCGTTATTGTATCATGCAATTTTATTAAAGGTGAATTAACTAGTGAACCAACATATGCTTCCCTTTTGACAAAAAGAGCTGCAAACTGCTACTGTGGTTATTCCTGGTATTCAGTAATTAATAAGTCGGTTCTGTTTGCCTTATGTGAGATTATACCTGTTGAAGTATTTATTAGATTAAGTGTATCTTGTTGGACATTTATGAGAGTAGTTGTAGACCTAGTTCCTAGAATGCATCTGTTTATCTTCTCTAGGATTAATCATGTCTCTCGATTTATTGTATCTCTGAATCTGTATTTTTATCTCCTATAAATAAGAGAACACAAGAAGATGATTTCAGGCTCTCAAAATCAGTTCTTTATTTTCTTTTTCTATTTCAAGTTGGTATCAGAGCGGGTTCATCCCGCTCTGCCTGTCTCTGTTATTTTTCTGACATTAACCGCCGTTCGCCGCCGTCCGCCGCCGTCCGTCGCCGGTGCTGTCTTCTCCGGCGCCGTTTTCCTCTCTGACACTTGGGTTTGGCTCGCCTCGAGGAGCGCGACCCAACCCCAGTGTTCGCTTCCTCTATCTCTGCCTCACGCGCCTCCACGCGCCACCCTTGTCCGCGGCTTCCTCCGCGCGTGGGCCTCACGCGCCGTCCTCTCGGTGGCCGTTTTGCTCCGAGCCACCTCTATCCGGCTCGCCTCGTCGTCCCGGTGCCGGATCTGCACTTTGTTTTGTGTTCTCGGTCACAAAACGTGGTGGGTCTGTGTTTTTCTCTCTGCCTCTCTCGGTCCTGTCTCGACGACGACTCTAACAACACGCTGGTCCTCTCTTGTTTCCTGGAAAATGTCGGAAGCGTATGCGTATCTTTTTCGGGACTCAGACTATAACCACGGAAAAATTAAATGGAAAAAATTATTTGTCTTGGGCTTCCTCTCGTTGAGCTCTGGTTTCTAGGTCAAGGAGTTCATGATCATCTAGAAGAAGATGGGAGTACTATACCGACAGATCGGGCTCCTCAATGGAAGAAACTGGATTATCAACTTTGTGCACTTTTATGGCAATCTGTTGAACCACATATTTTGAGCACTCTTCGAGCCTTTAAGACATGTAATTCTTTTTGGAAAAAGGCCCAAAATATCTTTGCTAATGATATTCAACGACTTTATGATTCTCGCTAATAGACTTGCCTCCCTTAAGCAAGAGGATAATTCCATGATGTCCTTTGTTCGTTGAAGCTCGGTCAGTTGTTGAAGAATTAAAAATGTTCCTGGAGGCGAGAATCATTAGAAGAAAGAAAGACGAAGCTGGATAAATTCTATATGGTAATGATTCTTAGGGCTATGAATCCGAGTTTAATCATGTTAGAGACCGATTCTAACTGGAGAAGAAGTTCCTTCTACGGAAAGTTTAATCACAAGGCTACTTCGTGTTCCTTCTATCAAAAGCAAAAACAGTCGAGGAACTTGCTGATTCTTCCGCCATGGTTTACGCTCGTGGAAGAGGTAATCACGGCTCTAGAGGACGTGGTGGGAAAGGACGTCCTCGGTGCTCTCATTGCAAAAGAATGAGACATACTAAGGAAAATTGCTTTGCTCTGCACGGCTTTCCGATAAGGCGACTAATACCTCAAAATCTGAAGTTGATGAGCCCAAGTTCTCTCATGAAGAGTATCAAGAATATTTAAGGATGAAATCAACCAATTTGGCTCAAGCATCTACAACACCAAATTCATCAACCGCTTGCATTTCGCAATCTGTGGAAAGTCAAAATCCATGGATTATTGACTCAGGTACTTCGACCACATGTCCGGTAATACCTCTTTATTTTCCTCTCTTTCATTTCCTAAAACATCCCATCTCATATCTTTAGCTAATGGATCTAAAGTAGCCTCTAAAGGAATTGGTCAAGTATCCATCTCTTCTTCTTTAAACCTTCAAAATGTTCTTTGTGTTCCTTCTTTTCCATTCAGTCTTGTTTCTGTAAGCCAATTAACCAAATCATTGAATTGCTCAGTAACCTTTAATGCCAATTGCTTTGTTATCCAGGAACGTGGTATGGGTCGACTGATTGGAGAAGGACATGAATCTGGAGGCTTATACTACCTTAGTACTAAGTCATCCGTATCTTGTGTTGCATCCTTATCCCCAAAGCTGTTACATGAGCGATTAGGGCATCCTCATTTAGCAAAATTGAAAAAAATGGTTCCTAAACTTCAGAACCTTCAAACTTTTGAATGTGAAGCTCGTCAACTAGAGAAACATACCAGGTCATCCTTTCCAAATCATTCTGAATCTAGATGTGATTACTGCTTTTAGTATTGTTCATTCGGATATATGGGGACCTAGTCGTGTTTCATCTTTTGGTTTTAGATATTTTGTTACTTTTATTGATGAGTTTTCTAGATGTACTTGGGTTTATCTTATGAAAGATCGTTACGAACTATTGCCTATCTTTAAGTCTTTCCTTAATGAAATCAAAACTCAATTTGGAAAAGTAATCAAAATTTTACGAAGTGATAATGCCAAAGAGTACTTTTCTACCGATTTTTCTAATGTCCTAAATTCTCAAGGCATTTTACACCAGTCCACGTGTCCTCACACACCACGACAAAATGGTATAGCAGAACGAAAGAATAGACATTTGGTTGAAACCGCTCGTACCTTGTTACTTGGGTGCCAATATGCCTATTCATCATTGGGGAGATGCTATTCTAACTGCATGCTTTCTCATTAATAGAATGCCATCTTCTTCTCTTGATAATAAAGTTCCACACTCCATTCTATTTCCAAAGGAACCAATTTTTCATGTTTCTCCTAGAGTATTTGGATGTATATGTTTTGTTCATGACATGTCTCCTGGCTTAGATAAACTCTTACCTAGAGCTATCAAATGTGTCTTCTTGGGGTATTCTCGTCTTCAAAAAGGATATCGGTGTTATTCTCCTGAAACCAAGAGGTATTACATGTCTGCTAATGTCACCTTTTTTGAATCATCATCCTTCTTTCCTTATTCTATGCAGGATATTGATTCTGTCCAAAATGTGTTTCCTGTTCCCTTTGTTGAATCAGTTGTACCTCCTATTCCCGACACCCCAAATCCCAACCAAAATACTCTAGAATCGGCATCACGACCTATCATCACCTATCAACGCAGGAACCAGGTGAACAATCCTAGTCCCCAAGATGAGCCATCCATAACAGGTCCTTCACCATCATCCTCTAATACCACGGCTCCCGATAACGATGACTCCAGTTGGCCCATTGCCATTCGTAAAGGTACTCGTTCTACTCGTAATCCTCATCCCATTTACAATTTTCTTAGTTATCATAGATTGTCTCCTTCCTATTGTTCTTTTATTTCCTCTGTCTCCTCTATTACAATTCCCAAAAATGTGGTCGAAGCGCTTGATCATCCTGGATGGCGACAAGCCATGATTTCGAAATGCGAGGCTCTTGATCACAGCAAAACATGGGAGCTTGTTCCTCTTCCTTCGGGAAAGAAAACAGTTGGTTGTCGTTGGATCTATGCTATTAAAGTTGGGCCCAATGGTCAGGTTGATCGTCTTAAAGCAAGGTTAGTAGCTAAAGGGTATTCTCAAATATATGGGCTTGATTATTGTGATACTTTTTCTCCAGTAGCCAAAATGACCACCTGTCCGCTGTTCCTTGCCATGGCCGCCATTCGTCACCGGCCTCTTCATCAATTGGATATTAAAAATGCTTTTTTGCACGGTGACTTAGAAGAAGAAGTTTACATGGAGCAACCTCCTGGATTTGTTGCTCGGGGGAGTCTCGGTTTGGTTTGTAAATTACGTCGATCCCTCTATGGCCTAAAACGGTCTCCACGTGCTTGGTTTGGAAAATTCAGCTCTATTGTTCAAGCTTTTGGATTAAAACGCAGCGAAGCAGATCATTCGAGTGTTTTTTTGTCACACTTGCCCTGGCAAACATGTTTATTTAATTGTGTACGTTGATGATATTGTCATCACAGGGAATGATGCTCGCTAAAATATCTCGACTAAAAGAACACTTGTGTAGTCATTTTCGGACCAAGGATCTTGGAAATCTAAAATATTTCTTGGGTATTGAAGTAGCTCAATCAAGAGAAGGTATTGTCATCTCTCAAAGGAAGTATGCTCTAGATATTCTAAAAGAGACAGGTATGATTGATTGCAAACCTGTGGACGAGTCCTATGGATCCAAATTTGAAGTTAATGGCGGGACGGGGTGAAGTTTTCTCGACCCGGAAAGATATAGAAGACTCGGTTGGGAAACTTATTTATTTGACGATTACTAGACCTGATTTGTCTTTTGCGGTTGGTGTTGTCGGCCAATTTATGCAAGCTCCTTGTGTGGATCATTGGAATGCTATCATTCGAATCTTAAGATACATTAAAAAAGCTCCAGGACAAGGATTATTATATGAAGATAAGGGAAATACCCAAATTGTTGGGTACTTGTGATGCTTGACTGGCTGGATCTCCTATGGATAGGCGTTCCACTACAGGCTATTGTGTTTTCCTTGGAGGAAATATCATTTCATGGAAAAGCAAAAAGCAAAACGTTGTTGCCCGATCCTCTGCTGAAGTCGAATATAGGGCAATGGCGTCTCTTACTTGTGAACTTGTTTGGGTAAAACAATTCTTGCAAGAATTGAACTTCGTGAGATTCAATCTATGAAGATGTATTGTGATAATCAATCTGCTCTTCACATTGCTTCCAACCCAGTATTTCATGAGAGGACTAAGCATATTGAGATTGACTGTCATTTTATTCGGGAGAAGTTGTTGACTAAAGAAATTTGTACTGAGTTTGTTGGTTCCAATGATCAGCTTGCAGATGCATTAACAAAATCTTTGAGAGGACCTCGAATGGAATTCATTTGTTCCAAGCTTGGTACATTCAATTTGTATGCTCCAGCTTGAGGGGGAGTGTTGAAGTATTTATTAGATTAAGTGTATCTTGTTGGACATTTATGAGAGTAGTTGTAGACCTAGTTCCTAGAATGCATCTGTTTATCTTCTCTAGGATTAATCATGTCTCTCTATTTATTGTATCTCTGAATCTGTATTTTTATCTCCTATAAATAAGAGAACACAAGAAGATGATTTCAGGCTCTCAAAATCAGTTCTTTATTTTCTTTTTCTATTTCAAGTATACCATCTTTTGCTCAATAGGTTCCACCTCTACTTTCTCTCTAATTTATTTCGTATCTGCAATCATATTACCTCATCGACCACACTGAGTTTATACTCTTGTTGACTCTGTACAATTTGACATATTATTTCATGATGTTATGTGCTTATGGGATAAATTGATGTTTGTGTTTTTGTTGAGGATGGGGTGGTATCTTACTAGTGATGCTTATGGATTTACTCAACGTTGTTGGGTTATTGCACTCTGCAATTTTCTTAAAAGCCATCTTACTAAGTCAACAGTTTTCTTAGTCTTGGTCAGTATGGGTTTGTGTTTACACACACACACACACACACACACACATATATAAAGGAAAAAATTTTATCAGAGAAGGCAAAGCGAAAAAAAAAGAGAGGATAAGATACCATCTCAGAAGTAGCTGAAATCTAAGAAGTTGTTGGTTGTGTTATGCATTGATTGAGATTACAAAATTCTACTGATTTTATGATTTTACCTGGTGATCCCATTGATTCAGCAAAAAACAAGTTACGGCTGACATCGGGATCAGAAACTGTGGCAAATATCATATTATTATTTGATGTTAAAAGTTAATATGCAATTGTAAGTTGTAATTATCATATTGGTTGTACATGAATTCAGAACATTTTTAGAGCGTAAACTATTAACTCCAAATAAATTATAGCAGTAGAGCTCGCAACCTAGAACCAATTTGCCAAAAGAAGTATCACATAAAGAAGATCAGCCATACCTATTTTAGTCCAAGTTACTCAAAGATTAAAAACTAAAATCAATACTATATTCGATATGAGAGAAGAGAATCAAGATAAAAGAAGATTAAAAGAACAGAGCGCAGAAGATAGCAAGCAGGTCTAATGCCATTTCAACTAGATGAAGGAGAACAATCCTCTACTAGCAAAACCCAGACCTAACAAAAGAAACAGATAGAGCAAATGAAGAATGATGAGAGGAGGCTTTTTTATTTAGAAAAAACAGCCATTTTCTCCATAGAAATATTATAAAGGTTGTTGCAAAGCACAGGGGCTAGAACACCATTAAATGTTATAAAGGTTGTTGTAAAATCCACCATCTACAGAAGGCTTTTACAATGTCATGTAATCACAATAACTGAGTATGATTTCTGTTTGATTGTCAATGTAAATTTTTTTTATACTGACAATGCATAGAAATTATTTTTCTTCTTTTGTTTGGGTTGTATATTCTTACTTGATGTTTTTGGAAGTTAGATGTTTTGTTTTGCTCATATTATGGTAAGAGGCCCTACACATGTTCATTTTATACTGTGGCTATTTTCTTAGTTGTTTTAAATGCATCTTCACTGTTTGTGTATATTATATATGTTCTTATTGTCATTTTGAAAGAAACGAATTTTTAAATATATCATGTTTTTTAGATTATATAAACTAATTTTCAAATGGATATTCTACAATATGCTCATTCACTCTATGCATTGGGAGATTAGGTTTTGGAAGTTCCTTGCAATAGCTCAGGCTCTCTCTACTTTCAGTAATAATGTTTAGATAATTCAGGCATTCAGCGTTCCTCAAATTTCTGGTATAGATATATCTGTATTATAATTTCATAAAACCACACCACTGCCTTTGCTTGATCAAATATGATATATTGTTAAATTTTCTTCTTTCTTTTCTTCCTGTCTTGTTTATATTTTTAATTTTTCTTCTTGCCCTTCGTGTCTTGTTTTTTTTTTATTTTTTTATTTTGACACTGTTGACTGAGAAAAATGTTTCATTTTTATTCTAATCATGGCCTTTTCTTCCTTGCTTGCATTTTGTTCCTGAGTAACCATTAATGGCGTAAATGAGTTTTCTACTTATCATACAACAGACTTTCTGTTTAACGGCTATGAACCTGAATGATGATGTCCTTGTGTTCTGTAGACTCGAGAATTCTGCTTCAAACCTTTCAGGGTCTGCACAGCATGATGGGCCAAGAGCTGCAGGTTCCAATGCATCTTCTCTGTTCGAGGTTTGGAAAATTTTGTCAATCTTCATTTGATATTTGTTATCAATGACTACAATGTACATGCATATTTCTGTTCATTGTGATACAGACAGGAAAAGCTTTTACGGCAAAGGGAATGCAAGTGCTTGAATATGTTGGTAAGGAGACGATGGACCTACTAATCAGTGAAACTGGAATTGAGGTTGAGAAGGATAAAAAACAAGGTGAAGAACAAAATGACGAGGATCAATTATCAGAGGAAGTGAGTTTTGATAGATGCTTTTACATTTATGGAGGTCCAGAGCAATTGGAGGTATTCTTATTGTTAAAAGATATAGAAAATTTCTCATAATATCATTTCTATGTCGAGTATTTTGGAGTATCCTAATGATCCAAGTGACAAGAAGTTTGGTTCTCATTACGCAAGGTCTCAGGTTTGACGTGTTAAATTGTGTTGTTTTTAGATTGTGGTTTAAAAATGATTTCATATGCAATATTCAGGAGCTGGAAGCTTTGTCTAGTCATTATACCTTGTTATTTAACCGAAGAAAAGCAAAGTTATCAGCTGAACAAAAGTCTGTCTATGATGGGAAGCTGAAAGAGGTCCAACAAATTTTTAATTTGAGTGCTGAAATTGATAGCAGTCATACTGATTCAAACAAAGGAAAGACAATAAAGAGAGGAAACGAAGGAAGCAGTGATGAGATGAAGAATTTACATGATTCAAGTGTTGGCAAGGCTGCTGAAATGGCTGCAGGGTAATTTAACTGGCCTCATAATTATTGATGTTATATTCACCTACCATTGTTGCTATAAAATCGAGTTTGAAGTGGTGTATTTCTTATATACTAAAGTATTACACTATATATCTATAAACCAAAGAAAAAATGTTTAGAGTTTAATCTGCGAGGATGTAAATGTAAGAATTTAGAAAATCTACGAGATGTAGTTGATTTGGATGTTTGTATGCAGGTTAAGGTTAAGATAGATAACATTTACTTACCGTCACAGAATTAGTAAAAGCTAACAAAGTTTGAATGTGTTTGTCTATCACTTTACTACAATTGTGATCAGCTAACTATCCCTGAAACTTAAGTCATTATAATTCTACGTGTTATTTGAATGGAGGGTGGTAAACAAGGATAGGATCTAAACCACGTGGCCATAGAGGTTCTGATTTAGCAAACTATCCCAGAAGCTTAAATAGTTTTATATAATATTACATCTATGTGATATCTTAACCTCCTCCCAAACTATGATCCTGAAAATTTTGAGTAATCTGGTGACTATACACCATATGGATTAAGGAAGCCCTCATCACTTCGTTATATGATATGCTATATGATCCTTCTTGTTGCAGTTTCACCAATGCCTTAACTGGATTAGCTGCTAATGATATAGTTCAGAGAACTACTGCAAGATTGGAATCTCTTCATTCCGAGGGAGTTCATGTACGCTAAAATATTATGGAATTTGTTGGAAAAATTTGATCTTATCAAATAAGGTTTTGGTATAAGTGAATAAAATGGGGCCGCTTTTCTTTGCAGAGACTGTCGGAAATGTGCTGTTTTGCTGTGTCTCAACTTCTAGTGTTTGGAAAATCCATCATTTCTCATGCCAATAAGACTGAGGATGAAGCTGATGATGATAAGGCAAACATCGAGTGGCCGGAGGATGTTTCTGCAAAAGCTAATATCGTAAGAGTAAATACCCAAACAATGATAGGATATGTGGAAGCAGTTTCTAACAGTTTTATTACAGGTTGGTTGTTTACTGATTCCACTCTTTCATTATAATCACGTATTTAAAGTATATCCCTATATTGTATACCTTGAATTTCCATTATTCTCTTCTCACCTACGTTTATCATTTAAATTGGGATGCATTTACCAGGCATATCTGATGTATCTGAGGCATATCAAGCTGCCATTAAAGCTGTTACTGCTGAGTCTCACTCAGTTGTTCCCCAGGCATCATCAGTTCAGCAAAATGCCAGTGTCTTCTCTGAAAACCTTCGAGCTGATCAAACCACAGCGGTTTGCAAAATCCAGGAAGGGGTCCAATTTTTAGCTTACGTTCTCATTTCAACCTCAATGAATGCTGCTTGAATACTTATATATGTTTCGATTTGTAAATAGTCACAGTTTAATTAGAAAAATGATACTACTCAACTATGCTTTAGTTTATTTCGGTCTTTAGATTCTTAGTAGTGTTTGAACTTGGGCAAATTTGTCCTGTTAAATTGATTCATGCAACCGTTTTATTCTTTAATTCCTCAATCCAGTCGATCATATATGAAAAGATTTTAGATATGCACTTCTGTTAAATAATTTTAATCAATTATTCACTGTCATTTACTGTAATCCAAGTTCGGATCGATTACATAATTGATGTGTACATGTTTATTGATGTTAAAAAAATTTTAGTAGTCATTTGCATTCTGTATGTTTACATGAAAGTTTTATCACTTTTTTGAAACTTGATTTTGGATCTCAATTTGATGAAGTTATGAGAATTCTTCAATAACTGGCCAAGTAACTGTAAATATGAGACGCATAAGGTCAAAATTATGTTACAGACATTGATTACAGATTTAGATCCTAATTTATAATTTCTGATGACTTCTTTTTTTAAAACAACTTTAGTAGCTGTTCTTGATTACATGTTTATTCTTCCAAATGCTATGTTAAAATGCAATGTTAAATTGAAAACAATATCTTAAGTCTTAAAATCAAGAAAGAAAAGACTTGATAAGAAAGATCACTATATATAAAAATAAAACTAAGGAAAGAAATTTCGGGTAAAATAAACTAGCAGTTTAAATCATAGAAAGGAATGGAAATCTATTTATAACTGCAATATAAAGTAAAATAAAATTATGATAACTTAAAAAAAATATTATAAATTATATATTTAAAAAATATAAAAGAGAAAAATATGATATATTTTTAAAAATATTAAAATAATATATTTTTTTAAAAGTTAATTTTAAAAAAATGAACATTATATCTGTGCTTTTACTAATTAAAATAAAATAAATTTAAAATTTTATTGACTTCAATTCTAAATAAAAATAAAAATTTTATAGAAATATTTTTAATTTTATTTTATTTACATAATAACAATAATATTATAATAAAAATATATTTTTTAATTTCTATAAAATTAATTTGGTATTAATTTTGATTTTGTAATTTAAAAAAAGGTTTTGTAAAATTTTTAAAAAATAATCTTTATAAAATTTTACCTTTTTTTATAAAAATATCATATTTCAAGTGAAAATATTATATTAAATTAATATTTAGTATAATAATTAAAAAATTTAAATTATCAAGTGAAATAAAAAGATTAAAAATATGAGTATTATAAAAATATTAGTTAAAGAAAAATTATAAAAAATTAATATAATTTGTTTAAAAGTTATATAAGAAATTATTTTCAGTGTCAAATACAAATTCTAATACATTGATTATAAGAACGAATAAAAAGAAGTTTCATAATTTTTTTTAATATAATATTTTAATTGTTAAAATAAAAAATAATATTAACAAATTAATAATTTAAAAATATATGTTTTTGAGTTTTTTTAAATTATTTTTTACTTTGTTTTTCAAAAAAAATTCTTTAACTCCTTCATTTATTATTTGTTGTAATAATAGATGGTTCATTTTAATATCATTTATTATTCCTGTGATGCTTTTAATACCATTTCACTTTAACTCTTGAACCTCCTTTCCAATTTAATATTCTTGTTTACTCTATTTCATGAACAAAAAAATCCTTATATTTTATAAGTTTAATAATTTTTTTTATGTATCCTTATTAAAGATATAATTACATGTAGTTTTTATTAATAATAATTAATAAAAATGAAAAAAAATCAAGAAGTTAATAAAATCAAATGAATGAATTAATATGTATAATTTCATCAAAAGTGTTTCATAATATAGATATAAATTTATTCTGTTATCTGTTTTATAAGTCTTTTATTGCTAATTTGTGCTAATCAACCGTTTTTGCAACATTAATATAATATTTCACAATTAATTAAATAACATAATTTTTTATAATATTAATATATTTTTAGTTAAATTTTATCTTTAACAGCTATGTAATATCTTTACTCAGTCAAATGTTACTGAGAAGGTGTTTCTTCCCCACTTTTCCATTACATTTTAAATTGTTTTTGTCTCTTACGCGACACAAACTATATATATATAACGTCTTTTTTGGAAGTCATTAAAAAGGTTACTTAGAAATAAATATATTTTTATATAAATTTAATATTATATGAAAGATAAAATATTTGAAAGATATGTACGTTTCGTAATCTGACAGGAAATAAGAAAAATTTGATATTATACAAATTATTTAATGATTGGTCTTACAATTAGAATATAATATACAACAAATAACGTGATAGCAAAATTGGGCGAAAAAGATTATTCTACAAATTATCGGATTTAATATTTTACAAATATCATTTTTTAATTTATAATGCAATAAATAATTTGATAAAAAATAAGAGACAAATTATTTTTTTTACAAGTAACTTTTAACATGTTTAAAATAATACTATGAGATCTATATTAACCTAATATATTTTATTTTAAAATTTATTTTGTTAAGAACCACTCTAATGGAATTTTGATTATTATATCAGAAGATATAAAACATAATTTTAATTCACTCACATTCAATTTTATTTTAGTGAATAAACTTTTGAAAAACTTAATTCAAAATTGTGACACATCAATTTTTTTAATATTGTTATTATTACGAAGATATATTTAATACGAGTAATTTGTACGAGTCATTTTTCAATTTAAAAATATAAGATATAAATTTATAATACATGCATTATTTAAGTATCTAACAAATGCTATTATTTTAATAAAAAAATTATAATAAATTTTAAATAATTTATTATCTTTTTTTATTTACTTATTTTTATTATTTTTTAAATTAATTGGTGATACAATTAATAAATAATTTAATAAACTTTTCATATCATTTAATTTTTCCAATAAAAAATATTTTAAATAATTAATATTTTACTGAAAAATTCAACTAACAATTTAATAAAAAATATTTTAAATAATTAATATTTTACTGAAAAATTCAACTAATAATTTCATAAAAAATATTTTAAACAACTAATATTTTATTTAAATATTTTAATAAATAATTCTTTTTATGATCCTGTAAGATATTGAATACAGAATCACACACATTACAAAATATAATTATTTGATCATTTATTTAACTAACTTTCTTTATTAATATTTCATTTTTATCTTTATTAATCAACATTAAATGAATTAACATCAATACGTAATCACGTCTTTAATAAAGGTATATAAGGGGAAAAAATTGATTAAGAGATTAAAATGCCTTACATTAAAGACATATTTTTTAAATGATACCTTATAATAAGAAAAGTGTAATATTTATTAATACGAATTAATTAAATTATTCTTTTTATAAAACTAATTAGTTAAATAATCAATAATATATAACCATATTTAATTAAAATTAAGGGTTAAGTATGATTTTAGTCTCTATACTTTCATGTGAAATTAATTATAGTCCCTCAGTTATAATTCACATAAAAATGATCCCTATATTTTTGAAATGATTGAAATAGGTCATTATTTTAAACGACATTAAGTATATGCTCGACATGTCTAATAAAAATAGTATAACTCATTTATTATTTGACACGTGTAATTATTTAAAAAAAATAAAATAAAAAGGTATTAAGCTTTTAAAAGTTATTTAAATCCGTATTTATAACATTTAAAAGTAATTTAAAAAGAAATTTAAACTTCTTTGTCATTTATAAGTCATTTAAACTTCTCTACCTTAATTTTTGGAAATAAAAATCCTAACAATAGTATACCATCGTCGCACATTACCGTTGTGCACACTACCAGTCGATCTGCTAGATCGAATCACAACAAACCGATGGAACCCTCGAACTTCAAAGTCACTTTAACTTCATATAACATTTACAGAGAAAAGGGAAGAAAAAATAGACCTTTGGTGTGTGACGAAAAAAGAAGAGAGAATGAAAAGTTGTTGTAACGAGAACTAAAGAGTTTTAGTGTGTGAGGAGAAAAGAAAAACTTCTACTTTTTAATTTTATTTTTTTCAAATAATAATCTCTATTGAATAATTTATATTTTTTTTAGAGAAGAGCTTTGTTTTTTTTTTTTTATAAATAATTACACGTATCAAATAATGAATGAGTCATATTATCTCTATTAGACATGTCACCATAAATGCCGTTTAAATATCTATCTCCTACTAAAAAAAATTTAACATGTCTTAATATCTATCTCATTTAAGATTTTAAATAACATTTCTTAAGCCTACAATGTGTCACATAATTTAATATTTATTTAAAATTAAATAATATAGGAGGAAAAATTGTTTAAAACTTATTTAATGTTTAAGTCACTTTAGCATATTCACCATTGATTTAGGGAGAACCCATTTTCCATATGGAAAATCTTTATTTCCTTAGTGTTAAAAAAAATTAAATTATTTATGTAAAATAAAAATTCAGCACTAAAAAAACGGTTGCATTAAATTAAATGATTAAAATAATACATAAACCTTTTACTAATAACATTTCCAAGAAATGCAATAAATTATATTAATTGTTTCAACTTTAACGTAGCACTGCAATTACAGTTTCGGACCTCACATCTTTTTGTCCACATTGACCATTTAATTGCGTGCTACAAGACATGTCCAGATTCATTGTATTTCTGGATTAAAGCTATCTGATGAGGAAAAAACAATGAGCAAAATCAAAATTGTGTTTTTCTGACAATTACACTAATTCTATGGTTATTCACAGGACCCCGTGTATATTTTATATATATGGTCTGTGTGTTGAGAAAGGATGAAGGAGAGGAAAATCAGAGTCATGGGAAACATTGATCCAGCTTTTGTACAATCCGCAGAACACCGTCCCAAAGCCAAGGTAGTGGAACCCAATGAGATTCCAGTGATTGATCTCTCTGAAGTCAGAGATGAATTATCGCTCATCTCTGAGATTGGGAAGGCATGTGAGGAGTGGGGTTTTTTTCAAGTAATAAACCATGGAATTCCCTTTGAGATTGGCAAAGAGGTTGAGATCGAGGCCAAAAAGTTCTTTGAGTTGGGGTTGGAGGAGAAAAGGAGAGTGAAAAGAGATGAGTTTAATGCAATGGGGTACCATGATGGGGAACACACCAAGAATGTGAGAGACTGGAAAGAGGTGTATGATTACCTTGTGGAGGACAATGCACAGGTCCCTTCCTCTCACGAGCCTGATGACAAGAACCTCAGGATTCTCACCAATCAGTGGCCTCAGCACTCTCTTCATTTCAGGTAATGTGATGGGGGTTTTCATTTTACCGTTTAGTGTTAATCTTCTAAATTATCATAGAGAATGATAGAATTGATTTTGTTTTACTCGCAGTAAAGATTATTCTGCAGAGGCATAACTTATAAGTTATATCTATGATCGTTAATGTGCGAGTTTGACTTTGAATAATGGTTTGAAATGAAGATGAAACTTGCACATTTCAAAACTAAATTTGGCAGAAAAAATAGTCACCGGTTGAGAATTACGTTTCATCAGGGAAATCATGGAGGAATATGCTCGAGAAGTGGAGAAGCTAGCATACAAGTTGTTGGGGTTGATTTTATTGAGCTTAGGCTTGGCTGCTGACAAATTCAATGGCTGCTTCAAGAACCAGCTGAGCATGCTGAGACTGAATTACTACCCTCCATGCCCTTTCCCTGACCTGGCACTTGGTGTTGGTCGCCACAAGGATTCCAGTGCTTTAACTGTGCTTGCACAAGATGATGTTGGAGGGTTGCAAGTGAAGAGAAAATCAGATGGGGAATGGATTCCAGTTAAACCCACCCCAAATGCATTTATTATCAATGTTGGGGACATAGTTCAGGTATGTTGTTATTTACTACATGGTTCTGTTAACATCAAGTGTGACCCCTTGTTTTTTCCTTTCTAAATAGTCCTTAAAGTCATCAATTGAAGACAATGTTGGGGATGGTTTTGCAGGTTTGGAGCAATGACAAATATGAGAGTGTGGAGCACAGGGTGGTGGTGAACACAACCAAGGAAAGGTTTTCAGTTCCATTCTTCTTTTTCCCTGCTCACCATGTTACAGTGAAGCCTGCAGAGGAGCTTGTAAATGAACAAAATCCAGCAAAATTTGGAGGATACAACTATGGCAAGTTCTTCGCTAACAGAAACCGTAGTGATTTCAAGAAGCGTGATGTGGAGAATATCCAAATTCAGCATTTCAGGATCTTGGATTAACCTTCTGCATTGACATTCTCAGTAGTATATATCATCATCCATGTTTTATGTTCTGCTATTTCCATCCTTCCAAAACATCCAAATAAAACAAGCATGCAAGTTGATGCTATCTCCTAGATTGTGTTTCATGTCTCAACATTATTTGGCTTCTTTCTACTTCTACACCCTTCTTTGTTTTTCAATTTTTCTTTTCGAATACTCTGACTTGAACATTATAAAAATGAATGAATATGAGTGATGGATTCTGGCATGAAAACAGAAGAGCCACTTGTGCATGTATTCATACTGGGGTTTCACTTTCACAAACCCAAATCAACACATCGCATGTATCAAATTTTACAGGGATTTATCCAAAATCTCTTGGTTTTCAAAATGAATTGCACCCTATAATGAAACACATGAAAAAAAAAAAAACTATGAAATTATGTCTATGCGGGTAATTTGGGAACAATAAAAAAGTATAGGTACATTAAAGTTTAAAAATCGAAAGTGATAATTTATAAAACTCTTTGTTCTTTGGTTAATGGAAGACAAAATCATAAAGTCTTTAACATTAAAGTAATAATATCTCAAATATAATAAACAATGTAGGTTAATATATTTTTAGTCTTTCGAAAAAAAATTCATTCTACTTTTATTTTAAAACACGTTATTTTATCATTTAAACCCTATCTAAATTGTTTTAGGGATAAAAAAATCAATAATTAAACCTCATTCATATAGATAATCCTACAAAAATTTAGTTAATTAATAAAGGTTTATTTTTAAAAGTTTTATAAACCGTGATAAAATTATTTAATTATTAATACAAATTTTAAACCATTACAATTTTTTTAATTTAAAAATTGACATAATATTCCCTTGATTATAATTAATTTATTTTTTTAATTTAAAAATTAGTAACAATTCATTAAATTTATTTTAAACTAAATTTATTATCTTTTAAAATCATTTAAACTTATAAACCTCAAAATCATTTAAACTTTCTTATAATTAGTTCATTGATGCACCCAATTCAATTTTTATTTCTTATGTTATTGTTTATTGAAACTGAAAATCTTCTATCTCAATCTCATCATTCAAGGCAATTTTTTTTATTCTTTCATTAAATCCTAAAATTTAGGGTTTATCAAACTTTTCTATTCCATGTTTATCCATTCAAGTTAGTGTTTATTCACGGAAGCTTGTGCTCTAAATTTGTGACTAACAAGTATCTTCTCACAAAATATTTATTACAATTATTAGGTTTTAATTCACGACGATTTTGAATATATATAATTTTTGAAATAAAACAAAAATCTTTAGATTAATTTATGTCCTATCTTCATTTATTGATATTTGACATATATAAAACATGAACTATGTTAGGAAATATAAGTGTGATTCTAGGTTTTACATTAGGTAATAATGAAAAAGTTGAACAATATATAAGAAAATATGACCTATAACCCAATATTTTAAAGTTTTTGGTTGAGATATAACATTAGAGATTATATTTTCTTATACGTTACTCAACTTTCTCATTCTTACTTAAGGTGAAACTTAGATTATCAAAAAAAGCATAACTCGTACTATCTATTTAAAGATATCACATGAGGTTAAGGTTAGGTTTAAAGTCTATTTTTACTTGAATTAAAAGGAACAGTGTGTCATGGGAAGAATAACTACCCTTGCATAAAAAATGGATGAGATGTTTATATGTAAAATTTTAGATTATGAAAAGAGATGCAGCCAAGGGAGAAGGTGAGGAGACCAGTAAGAATGACGTTGGTTAAAAGAACATAAATAAGTTATTTGTTTCATAGGAATATTTTTTCAAACTTTGCATCGTACATTGTTTCTTTGCCCTTTCATCGCGTATTTGATTACCATGTTTTGGATATTGAAATTAATTTGAAAGTAAATTAGTGTTAAAAAGTATTATTCGAAATGTAGGTCTTTTCACATAAAATTTGAACTGAAACAAATTTGTATTGAATTACATGAAATAAATTTAACTGAATTGTTATTTCTATGTAATTTTTAAAATCGGTATGTTCAGTTCAATTGTTTCAAATAATTCAAATGGTTCATGTACATAATTATTAAGAGTAGTTTAGTTTACTAATCCAGTAAAGTCAAGTTTACGTTTCAGTTTGATATTTGAAACACTTTCGAGGAGTTTGGTAGAAATATTTTTAAAACTATTTTAAAATTTAAAGATAATGTTTTTATTTATTTATTATTGGCTATATTTATTATTGTTTTTGATGGTCAAAATTAATTTGTCATCTCTTTTTCATGGTACTTCATAGGGGAAGTTTTTTATTCTTAAAACAAACTTTTATGATATACATTTCAGAATAGGTATGAATTGGAATGTTTTTCTTTTATTATTCACATGAGGTTAAAGTTAGTTCACTGATAGATATTTTTGTATCATAATTAATAAATAATATTTTAGTAAAAGTTTAATCTATACAAAGGGATTTTATTCATTTATTTCCTAAGTAGTGTCATCCAAGTGAATAAAATTTGTTAATTGAATTCAATTTAATGTTCTGGGATTGTTGTCTTTATTTAGTACTGTTAAAAGTTTGGATATCAAGCAATTATATGAATGGAAGTGTAATGTGTTTGTTAATGAAGGAACATGCTACTTCATGTCACCTTCTATGACATGCATCAAAGCCTTGTGCATGGTCATTTTCTCCTCATTTTGATTTAACCATTATTTTACCTTTTTTTCATGAGTTTATTGTCATTTATTTCATTTACATGAAAAATAACACAAAATTAGTCCAAGTGTTAATTTTATAAAATGTTGAAAAATGATCATTTTATACATATATATTATATAAGACTAGGAGACTTTGATAATATTATATTTCAGTTTACCACAAAATTTAATAATATAGACCCATTTCTCAAATTTTGATTCGAAATTAAAAGTGAAAGTTATTCATTTAAATTAAAAATTAATAAATTCTGAAAAAAATATTAAAACGTTCAAAAATGTTATGCTTGTATACACTCAAATAAAGAAAAGACATATTCACTACTAGAAAATATACTTTCAACGTCGTTGTTTAACGTCTGTTAAATCTTAGCCGACGTTGAATATGCTTTTAACGTCGGTTGTTGACCAACCGACGTTGAAAGTCGAATTCTGACACATTCTACGTCGTTTTAGCATGCCCGACGTGGAAAGTAGGCTTTTGACGTCGGTTATACCCTCAACCGACGTTGAAAACCCTTCTGCAAGGACTTTCAACGTCGGGTGTGGATATAACCGACGTGGAAAACCCGTTTTCGCATTTGCAAATGATACCATTTTTGTATATCTCCCCTTACTCTCCAGCATCGCGGCCACCACCTACCACCCTCATTTGGACTCTCTGGACGCCCTCCCTCACGTCGCCACCGTGCACCGCGTGACACCCCCGCCGCAGCCTCCGCCTCCACCTCCACCTCCATCCCACTGCAGCTTCCACCCCACCGCGACGGTAGGCGCCGCATCGTCCATCGCAGACTCCAGCCGCACCGCAGGCTCGACCTCCACCCTACCGCGGCCTCCACCTCCACCCCACCCCACCACAACCTCCACCCCACCGCGACGCTAGTCGCCCACCCTCCACCCCCACCGCAGCCTCCACCCACATTGCATCATCCACCTCCAGCTCTCCACGGCCTCGACCCTAACGCCGCACTTGCATCCTCCACCTCCACCCCACTGCAGCGCTGCTCTCTTTCTACGTGGTGCGCACCTTCATTCGTTGCCTTAACCCACGAGTACGATGTTGTTGCACTTATATTTGTTGGGCAAAAAGTTGAAGTCATAAAATTTTACTTACTACATTTCATAGGTAGAGATTCTTAGTCATATTATTGTTGGCCGTTAACTGTTGATTCAATTGTTTATACATTTTGTCCCCATAAAATGGTGATTGGATGTAAGCTTCAGCCCATTCCAGGGGAACTCTCAAGTCAAGACAAATAATGATACAGTTTTAAAATTAAGATGAATATAGTTTTTTTCAATGTATTGATGATGTGTACAATTATACTTGGACTGCTTGAATATGCCCGTGGGGCTTTTTATTGGCAGGTTTCACTGTGTCATTTAAAATTGTTGCCAAAAAACAAAGGAAACTCTGCCGGATTTTGGTTAGAAATTAATCATGAAGTGTGAATTCTGAAAACTACATATAATAATGTAGTTAAATAAGTGATGGTAGTAACAATGAAAACTCTATAATTTCAATTTATACAAATTTGGTTTTGACCAAAAAATAGACGAAATTCTGTTGAATTTTCGTTAGAAATTAATCTACTTTTGTATAGATTTCATTAGAGATAACGATTATTAGTATTAATCGTTTTATTGGTTTCTCATTTGTAGACTCCAATTCCAAAATGGATCCAAGTTGGGTAAATGCAAGTCATATTTCACAAGAGTATGAGAATGGAGTTGAAGAATTTTTGCGATTTGCCAAACACAATGACACCAAGGTTAATGGAAAATTGTATTGTCCATGCGTTAACTGCGTTAATGGGAGAGTATACACACTAGAGACAATACGGGAACATCTTTTATGTGATGGGATAATGAAGAATTATATCGTATGGACATGGCATGGTGAAGTGATTGATACACCAATAGTAACACAAGCTGAGGAAGAGGAGGATATGACAATGAAAGATCGAATAGAAGACATGATTCGTGATGTAGGTCAAGAGAATTTTCTGCAAGCACATGCTTGTTGTCTATGATAAATTGAAGATAGATTCGAGAGATACCTCTGTATCTTGGATGTACAACATTCACGCGATTGTCAGTTGTATTGAGATTGGTCAATTTGAAGGCCAAATTTGGTTGGAGTGATAAAAGTTTCACTGAGTTACTAGAAGTTTTGAAAGATATGCTCCCAAGCGATAACACCTTGCACGATCGTATGTATGAAGCCAAAAAAATACTTTGTCCAATGGGTTTAGAGTATAAAAAGATACATGTTTGCCCT